GGGGGGGGGGGGTAAATGAACAATAACCAAAAATATAGGGAACATAGGGAGAGGGACAAAATTGTCCAAAAATTGCTTGTGTAATACTTTAACGAGCTCTTCGCTACTCAACCTGTTCTAATCTAATTCTTCACTTTATCAGCCAACTTTTTCCAAATGGCTTGATTGCTTACTCAACAATTGTGATATCAATCACTGTTAAAATTCAATCTGATAAGTGCAGGTTGACTCTTCAAGTCCAAATGAAATGTGGCTCATTTCCTTGGGGGTATGTTCTTCTAATTGATTGCCTTGTATTATGTGGGGGACAAGATAGCTCGAGCTGCATTTGAATGCTTCTCAGAGAGCGTCTTACATTTGCGTGGTATGACTGTTTTTGCGCCTAATGGGATAATTACTCGTTTTCTTGTTGCTTGAGATAAGGCCGAGCTATACCCAATTGGCCCTTGTCTCCCAGGGTCAATTTATCCGCTCTCTCGCTTGTTAATTCGATGAAGCCTTTCGTGAGTTTGAATCGTCCCGTAGCCTTTGTTACTGACCTCCACTTTCTCTTCTATGATTCCATAACTTCTCCTTCATTTAATTATACTCATTTAATGCACAAAAGAAGCTTTTAAATCTCTCGGGTAGTTCCTATTTATAAATATCCACAATATTTTCATACTAACTGAATGGCAATTCTACATAATCAGAGTATATACCTCATTCAAAAAGGATAAACGACTTGTGCTATCGTACTATCGATGTGTACTATCTTTCGAACGTTATCTCGATGTTTTTTTTTCATCTTTCGTCATCTGAAATTGTCAATTAAGTCCTGCATCACGCAGAAGTTTTGAAAAATTATGTATAAATAATCAAAAAAAAGTAGAAAAAGTTCTTAATTCTTTCAAAGAGCATTTTTTATTTATATTCAGAATAAGTTGAATAACAAGAAATGGGAAAATGTATCTGATTTACGGTAACAAATGGCCGCCTGTCACCCAATATCATGCAGGGGGAAGACTGATTTCGTAAATCTTTTCTCAGGGTGCACAGAGACATTTATTACGGAAAAGGCTCTTTGAAAAAAGTTGTAATATTTTGGAGAATTTTTTAATCACACCTTTATCACATAAAAATGGCAGATGACTACATACCACTGTTTTGAAAATTGAGATACCTAGCTGTCACTTCCCATGAGGAGTTAGTGTTTTGTTATCCACCATAGAAAATGACGGCTAATAGATAATTTGGCACAGCGAATCAGATATTTGTAATTTCCACATGATGTACCAATCAATTGACAATTTTGGGTTACGAAAGATAAAAAAAATCCAGATAACATTCGAAAGATAGTACACCCGGACCTTAAATGTAATAACATTTTTGAACCATGTAAAGTTGGTGATAAGTTTGTGAAGTTTGTCGTGACGTTTAATGAGACAATTCAAGGCGAGTTAAGCTCTTTGAACTATGGCAAAAGCCCCGAAGGTTCATGTTGAATATAAAAGCAAAAGTAAAATGTAAAAGTAGGATTAAACTCCACCGCCAATAACCCAGCATATATGGACATATATGTGCAAAACGTACATAGCACAGCGTTTTTTTCCGCTTCTCGCTCGCCTCTTTTTTATCCAAAGCTTTTTGCCTGCACTCAAGCCACCAACGGGTGTATTTCAGTTGCGATAGTTTGGCAACGCTCGAGAGCCTCTGCTGACGTAGGTTTTTATTACCTGTCTTACTCAGCCACATGACTCCCTCTCGCTTCCTCTATCTCTACGATATTATTTTCAACGTGAGGGCTTACTGTCGGCTTACTTCAACTTTTCGGAATACAAAACTTCTATTCCAATGATGAGACTAGACGTAACAACTGCAAGTGAAAATACATGTTGCGGAATCGGAAATCTACGGGGCTTTACCTCAACACTGTTTCAGCGCTTTCTTAACTTCAAACATAACAGAACAGAAGAGAACAATAATTTGTTTGCCCTGTCTCTTTAACTCCTCGTTTTTATTTTTGCGTTAACGGGTCGTATACCTTGGCCGGATGTAGTTTAACGACAGTTTTATTTTACTCATTTGCCAACCTGCGATTGGCGAGCTCTTATTCGTTCCTTTAGTGTTCCTAATGAGTTGAATCGTTCATCCGGCGATTGTTATCAAGGATGAAACGAACAACATCATCGAATGTGTACGTTGATTCTACGTCGAAAAAAAGTGCGATAACGGTGCATTTTTTTCACCTCATCTTTTAGACAAGTGACATTTTTTTAAATGTAAATGTAATGATAATGTAAATGGGAGATATCGTAATAGATTTAAACGTCAAATAACAGGTGATAGTCATTGCTGGGATTACTGAGAATATAATCCGTTCTATGAAGTTCATTGATACACATAGATACATAGATACTTTTCATGTTAAAGTGAAGTAATAGCTGCAGGAAAAATCCTTATAATTTTCTTATGAATTCTGGAAGAATCAGGAGAATTCAAATTTTAAGGTTCCACGACTTTTCTTCCACGATATTTTATCCCCGACATTTCTTCCCCGATAGATTTTCCTAAAAGAAACTGTCTTCTTTTTTTCCCGTCGATACCTGAGCAAATAATAATCCCTACCTGAACATTTCAAATCACCAGAAGAAGAACATTTCCACGAATAATTTTTAATATAACTGTGCAAGTAATGGAGATGATTGTCCACAACATTTTCTTCCCTTTCGACGATAAAATAAACACGAAAGGCATTGTGGCGACTATCCGCGCAAATAACTTATTGAAACTGTCATAGTTGAATGCTTTCGGTCATCACCCAGGTCCAATAGCCGAAGATTATCCTCTCTGATTAAAAAAATCAATACACACTCGAAAATCAAGAAACGATCGGGTTATCGCAATTCGGTCGAGGCTTATAAAAGAAGGATAATCCCCACTTATCATTACAATCAACTGTTTTGACAAAATGTATGTCAAAATATACAAATTGAATCAGAAAATTAGAAAGGGAAAAAGTCGGGGAAAAAGTAACGTGAAAAAAGTAGCATAGGAAAAATTGACACGAGGAAAATTTGGGCAGGGACAAATGTCGGGGAAGAAAAATCGGGGAAAAATGTCGAGGAAAATAAGACGGGCCACTAATTTCAGGACGTTTGGGTAATCCTGTCACACTGTGTTTTCCTCACTGTAATTTCCCGTCTTGTTATGTACTACACTTGAATGCTTCTTTCTTTATGTTGAATGACATCTTTTTCTCGAGTTACGTCCGGTGATTATTGTTTCCCGTGCAGCCGACCATCCCGCCAAGACGTAGGCGCATCTTTTTATTCGTCATATTAAACTTCGGACATGTGAGCGACGTATGTGGCTAATCATTCGAGTCTGTGTCGTTTACATCTCTATGCATTCGGCCACGTGCGCTTCACATACGTCACTTAAATACGAGTTTCGTTTTTCACTGGGTCAGTGTCATGACGTTCATGATATACTAGGTGAGGGTTTTTTTTGCTGATTTTTTTTTTGTCGGCGGATATGACGTGGGGGACTGGAAAGCTTTGGATATGGAAACTTACAATACGAAAATGATGAATAGGTTCAATCATATTTTTGTAAGGCAGTTTAATATTCAGCAATGTTCGCTGTTTTACGAGCCTGCCTTTGAAGTGGCCTTTGAACTGACAAGTGAAAGCAAATTTTTCCACTACGATGACTGATCATGACTTCATTAAAACCATTATTTTGAGAATGACGAAATTTATTGAAAGAAGTGCAGTGAATAGTTGAGTTTCGCGTTTTAGGGAAGACAGGGGTTAGCATTAGGAGATGTCTTTTTTGTAGGTCTTGCAACAAAACAATCGGGAAATAGCCGATAATTTTTCAGGTCTCGTGGTATTACTACTGACAATTTTTTCAATTCTAATTTGGACCAATCAGAATGCAGTATTCGGGGTCACGTGACGCGTTTCAAACTGATAATTTCCCCGGCTCCCGGAAATTATTAGCAACACAGCACCAATTCCCCGCCCTTCCACAAATCATGTAAAAAATTGTGCTCCCGCCCTCAACATTCCACCCCTTGAAATATTCCTCGCCATTCAACAAAAATTTCGTATTGATTCGGGCAGTATTGCTGATAACTCTATAGTGAAATATTGCCCTCTGTTAATGAGAAGAAAACTTTGATTAAATTTAAGTTTTTCTAAATTCAAAATTTTTGTTTTTATTCAAGTGTCGAACCCTTATGGAGCAAAAATTCAAAATTGACGTGGAAAAATAGACCTGGTCATTTTTATTTCCAATTTCTGTACCTGTATTTTCCAACTTAATTGTGGATAATGTTATATCTTTCAAAAATAAGTATGTTACTAGATGGAAATGGTTTAAATCATGCAATCGATAAAGTATCAGTGTCAATGATGCTGAAATTTAATTTCACATATCAGAATTTTTCCAGGGAATAGAATGATTAATTTTTTTACAATCCGCCGTTTTGCTCCATCGCTCCATTTTGCCCCACCCTTCCCTGTTTATAATTTATAATGTGAATTTATTAAATTAAATTTTTCTCCTTTTCTGTATTGCTCTTCCCGTTTGTACCATTCATTCCCTGCCCACTGTCCAACCCCCGATATCGCATTTGCCGAAGAACGCGGGAAAAACCATCGTATTTTCCGACATAGATAGATAGATGAAAATTCGAGCAATCTTGCAAAATATTGAAGTGCTCTCTTATTTCAGGGGGGGGGAGGGTCCTCAATTGGATGGCTCTCCCCACAGTTCTATAAAAAAAACCTTGGGAAAATACGTCGATAGACGTATACGTCGCTCAGATGCAGAAATGCTAAACAAATTGTCGGTTCAAAGTGGAATATCAAGGAACGTCAAATGGAATTGAATTTTTTACAAATTCTTTTCATCACGAGAAGAATCTGATAAGTTCTCATACTAAATAGCCGAAATAACAAAGCTTCCAAAAGTGATTAACAAAACTGAAATGAGTCCAGGAAGCGAGCCATTATTTCGCCTGCAGTGGAGCGATAGTAACCCGTGAAAGGTAGACGTCACTCTCTTCACGAGAGATATCGATCAAAATCTCACTTCAAAATTAGCTTGTCACATCTCCTTTAATTAGTTCATCGTACAACTCCAAATGAATTATTTCCCTTATCAGATGGATTATCTCTCTCATATAATCAATGATGCTCTCAATACTTCTCGTGTCGACCCAACTAGCGTCCAACCGATCATATTAATATCAAATAATTTCAAATTGTTGAAACGATTGTATTTCATTCCAGTGGGTAATCCATCCAATGTTGCTAATAAAAGTACACACGTGGTAGAAACCGCAGTGTAACAGCTAAACCAGAGGCGCAGGGACAGGAGATCAAATGAAGTAATAATAAAGTATAATAATAACGAAAAAACATATCGTGATGGAAGATGTTGAGGGGGTCGTGTGGATCTATCTGGCATTTTCTAGAGTTAACACGAGTTGACGTTTTACGCGAACATCGGGTTATCTGACGCCATGTGTAAACTAAAACCAGCGGGGCAAAGCCGGACGCGTGAATGAAACACTCGTCCGGTTGCCTCGGGTTTTTCTCTCTTATCTCGATTCGGTTATACGATCTTTTTTGTTGCACTTTTTGTCCGTCTTGTTTCATTATCTCTGTATTTAATGAAGGGCGGATGTCTGTGGGCAACATGAATACACGTTGGCCCACGTAATAACTACAGTCAATGTCAAGTAGAAGAAGTCATTACCACTCGTAAAAAATTAGGTGCGCAACAAATTGAATGAATTATGTGATTTTTTTTCAATTTCTCATTTTTCTTCAAGAGAAAAACTCTGCGAGTGATGTGATAAAATAAGATAAGGCATACATCAATTCCGAGATTAGCCGCTCGTAAATATATCCATGTTCTACGGAGATATGTGAAATGCCCATTTTGGTGTGCGAAAATGAAGATGGTCCTCTCCAGAATAGGGTTCGATTCAAGGATATTCATCAAGAACTCGTTTAGAAATTACTTCACGTCATCTTTTTGCTTCCGAACGGAAGCATTGTATTCGTCAAATTCGAAATTTCTACTTTTTTGTGTCAGAGTAACTAATTTTGGGCTGAAGAGTTCGAATATGGGGATTTTCCAAGTTCCACTGAAATTTCAGGAAATTTTGTCCTTGAAAATTCCGAATTTCGTGGAAAAATCAAACAGAACTGTAACGTTCGGTTCCATTTTTCCCTGAAAATGAATAGAAAACCAGAAAATTCAGGTAAATATATTCTTGAATTTTCAGGACAGTGACACTGATTACGATTTAAGGGGAAAAAATCATGAAATTTCAGATTTCACTGAAAATTCTATGTAATTTGACACTGAATATTCATGTTAGATTGGAAATTCAAATAAATTACGGAATTCTCGCCTTTATGCCGCTTAAAATTCTGGAATTTTACTGAATTTTCAGTGAAAACTGAAATTCCGTAATTTTTTTCCCCTAAATCGCATTTTTTTTCAGAGTCACTGTCCTGAAAATTGGTAGTCAACTGTCTATGAAATTTCATTTTTTTCGAACAGTGTATGTATGTGTATATGACCGGTCGTTTTTCGATGATAACTGCAGAAATAATTATTTAAATGAATCCAATTGTGATTTAAAATAATCTTCCCAATCCCACCTTCACCGATTCGATTATCAGATTGATTGCATCATCTGTTGAAAAAATTCATTTTGAAACCAATATTCAGAGAAAGGTAAAAAAATTTAACGTTGGGGTAATGTGGGCTGTCAACGTGGGGCAATATTGGTTGCCAAGGTTATGGTAGTGTTGAATTCCATGAAACATTGAATTAAATTTAAAAGACATCGGAAAAGATATTCCATTCGGAAGCAAATTGCTAATTTATTAGCAAGAATAGATTGACTATGCTGTGACGAAAGCAATTTCCCACTTGTTTTATTACTTTGCTCCTAATACACTGTAAAAAAATGAAATTTCATGGACAGTTTGATATTGGATATTAAAATTCCAGAATTGTAAGCAGCATAAAGACGAGAATTCCTTAATTTATTTATTTACAAATTTAATTTAATTTATTTGTTTAATTTATTTATTTATTTTTTTAAATTTTTATCATTTGAATTTCCAATCTGATATGAATTCAGTCCCAAATTACATAGAATTTTCAGTGAAATCTGAAATTTCATTATTTTTTTCCCTCTAAATCACATTCAGTCACTGTCCTGAAAATTCCAGAATATATTTACCGGAATTTTCTGATTTTCTATTTATTTTCAGGGAAAAATGGAACTGAAATTTACAGTTCTCTTTGATTTTTCCACGAAATTCTGAATTTTCAATGCCAAAATTCCTTGAAATTCCATTGGTAATCAAATTCGATAAAAATTTCCAAAAAGTGCACCGGAAATTTCAGACAAAATTTTTTAGCAGTGTATATATTATTAGGATTCCCATGATGCAATACATGCAGTGAAAAACAATTTACCAGAAATTCTTTAAGTTTTTGTCGATGCATATCTCAAAAATTCGCGTGTAAAAAAACCTGAAATTTTGGGAATCGTTTTCTCATGTGCTCAACAACATATGATCCAAATTTTATGTCTTCAGTTCATTGCGAAATTTTCACCAAGTATAACACACTGAGGAAGTACCTTAAATCCCCACGAAAAATATCTGGAAATACGTAGATTGTGGGTTATTCGTGATGCGAAATATCAGAACAAGTTTCCGGGGTTTATTCTAATCCAGAAATGAAAATAAACACGAGGGAATTTGTTGCAGGGCTGTACTTACAGCATCGGAGTATCGCAGAGCCGAGGATGACGGCAGAAACTGCAGCGCCGTGTGTTCAGGGGGTCCAGAGTATTCAAACTGGTGTGATGGTGGGGCAGAATGATCCATTGAGTCAGCCGCATCAGCAACAGATCACAAAGAATCAAAATGCCAGTAATTGTAGCAATTCATCGTCGAATAGATCCTCAGGATCATCGTCGTCGGGGGTCTCCAGTTCTTCGTCAAATTCTGGGGTTTACGATGCTGAGTATGCGAGAATGGAGGCCTGGCTGGATGAACATCCGGATTTTGTGAATGATTACTTTTTGAGGTAAATTATAGAGTAGTTAACATTTTCACAGATGCATCTGTGAATATCTTCGAAAAAGCGAACTGACACCGCGAGAAAAACTCCAAAGTTCTCAAACAAGCCTTACTTGTGCCAAGAAAATAGTTTTTTGAAAATTATCAAAAAAGGATTTTTTGTGCCAAACATTAAGAGAGTGCGCCGGGATGAAAAATTTTCGCCGCAAAAGTAGATGTAGCAGTTGAAACGAAATTGCATTCTCCGTACACGTAAGAAATGTCATTTCTAGCACTACTCCTTCGTTATTCGATACTCCCATACGTATTTCACTCCCGAAAAATGTTTGTTTTATGCGAAACAAGGGATAGTAGTTTCTCATTTCGGCTGTCTAATAATCACAGACAAGAAATGAACCCTCAAATGAAACAATAATAATGATATGATAGCAATCTTGTAACTTATGTTAGGGACAAAATATTTGTTGTTAAATTTTTCTCTATATGAGATATTTTCATCCTGAAAAGGCACCGTCTGGTGTGAATTATCCGCCTCTTCAGCCGAATATTTCGTTGCTGTTGAGAAAGCAGAACAGCTATTCATGTTCGAGCCTTTCAAATTCCAACTAAACAAATTCTTTTTTGGCAATTTTCAACTAGCGATTTTGTTGGCCCAAACAAGACTTGTTTGAGAACGTGTTTGTTTTTCTCTCAGTACGCGATGGAAATGTACAATTTCCATTGAAATTGTTTAGTCTCTGATAAATTCGGTGTATAATTCTTATAAAACCTCTCCAAACGTCAGAATCACCTCCGGCTCTCCGCCACTTCGCCGGAAAATTTCATAAATATTTAAATGTTTGACTGTTTGAAGAAGGACTCAATGATCTCAAGTAACACTTATAAAGGAAATAATATGAAATATTCATAGGTAAAAACGATTGTAAAACAATGAATAAGTAATAAGTAATTTGAAAAGAAACGAGAATTCAAATGAATGAAATAAAAGCTTGAGTGACAAATGCTCGTCAGCTGTTAGCGATGACGCAAGTCGTCGATGTTGGCTTGATATCGACTTCCTGACTCAGCCCTGTCATCAGTCTCGCTCGCCCGCATTGCCTCGTTTCTACCAATTGGCAATTGCTCATGCAAAAATCTTAAGAATGAATGCTCTTTATTTTACCCCCACTGACTAACTTTTACAATTTACGTTTTTGTGCAGAAAAGTAACAAGACAAACCGTAGATGAGTGGCTAGTTACACATGCAACGCCGACCTCATCGGCTAATTCCATGCTGGACATGTCGAATCAGAGTAACTCTGGGTCCATGAATTCACCGGGTGGGAGGGGCAGTGGGGGCAGTGGAAATGGTGGTGGATCGGGGGCGACAACACCAGTGAGAAAAATTTCAGCTCATGAATTCGAGCGAGGTGGATTACTTAAGCCAATTGTTAATACTATTGATGGCACACCAACATTTTTGAGTATTTCCCCGGAGGATTCTGGTCAGACTGGGGGTGGACAACAGGTTGGCACCGGGGGGGCCAATAGGCCGCAAAGGAGGTCAAGACATGAGCTGAGGCAGTTGGACGAGAAGGATCTCATCTTTGAATTGGTAAAGCCAAAGATAACTTCTTCATTTCATCAAAAGTTACTATTACGTATGAAATTACGGAAAGAGCATTCCTTACGACTCAGCCCACCTTCTAGGAACATTTATGAAATTTACGAAATTACATATGGAATTACATATGTAATTACTTATGAAGTTACGCAAATAGCACTCCTTATGACTCATCCCACCTTCTAGGGACATTTATGAAATTTATGAAATTTATGAAATTATAGATGAAATTACATATACTGTTATTGTTTAGGGGATTATGAAAAAATTATCATCAACAACCTTCTCCACCTTATAACAGTCACTTATTTTGGTAATCAGTGGTGTAAGAAAAAGTTTTCAGAGAACCAGCTTTCTGAAATTATGTATTGCCTGTTTAAAAATGACCCCTCGAGATCTTCCATTTATGTCCCTCGATTGGGAGATGATTGCATGCTTATTAGTTTCCGCACATAACTCAATTTATTTCACCATTTCAGTATTCAATCGTATGATTAAATTCAGCTCATAACATCATACTTGAAGCGAAAGAATATTCACTATTGGATGGTAGTGTTCGTGTGTGTTGATTTTTCTTTTACGATATCATCAAGAACTTCTTAAATCTCTCAGAAAGTTCACTAACTTCTCGGAAAGTATCAGAGTTGTACAGGAAAAGTTTTCTAAAGTTTTAATGCTTTTTCTCAACACTTCTTAAATTGCGAATTTTTGTTTGAAACTTTTTCAAAATTCATAAGTTTGTGATAAATCTGGTCGAACAGATTGTGAGTCTTTTGCGACTATCTCTAAAACCAATATATTTACAAAGTGAGAACAAAAGCCTCGCTTCGTATTCTATAAATTTTGTTTACAAAAAAAGTCATGTAGGAAATTCTTTTGTCTCATCTTTTCGGAGTTATATGAAAAATTCAGAGTACACGGAGAGAAATTTTCTATAAAAATTTCTAGTGTCAACACTAGAATTTTTTCCTGGCTGTCACTTTGCGCCTCTTTTCCCGGCTAGCACTAGAATTTTTCTAAAAAATTTCTCTCCGTGTACTCTCAAAAATCGAAGAAATTCTATCCTTTTAGAACGTGGTCGACAGAAGTGAGAAATTTACTGCTAGGCAGATCATGTAATCCCTCCTTTATTTACATTTATACAAGAAATTTCCAATTTTCTTGTCTCCATCTCAAATAAAGTCATGCATCATGAAAATTTGTGATTCTGTATGAAATTTATTTTTCCTTGAGGGAATATATTATCCTCTCGATTTTGTTTTAAAGGTCAAAGACATTTGTAACGAGTTAGACGTACGATCCCTCTGCCACAAAATCCTCCAGAATGTGAGCACCCTCCTCCACGCCGACCGCGGCTCATTATTCCTCGTCCAGGGTGAACGTGCGTGCGCTGGCAATACCAGCCGTCAACAACCAAACTCCAATAAATGTGATACCAGTAAAACGTCTACAATGCAAAGTGAAAACCAAAATAGTCATACGACAGCGAGTTGTACAAGAACCAGGTGTCTCGTTTCTAAGCTATTCGATGTTTGTTCGAGGTCCACACTGGTGGAGATGGAGAAGAAGGATGAAATTAAAATACCATGGGGAACGGGGATTGTGGGATATGTGGCTGAGAGTGGGGAACCAGTGAATATACCTGATGCATATAAGGTAATAAAATTCCTCGATGACAGTCATAAAACTTTTTTTCCTCAATCTATACATCCCCGTTCAGTGGTGAAACGTTATAATGTGATGAATCCAAAACTTAGTCGTGTATCAATAAAGATATCTTGGGAATGAGAAGTTGCAGAATTTATCAAGTGACCCTTGTTGTAAAAAAATGAGACCCCAGTGAAGTCTTTTTTCTCGAGAACAACAAAGATTTTCCATATTCCTCTTCAAAGCTAATAATTCCGGAAGTATTTGGCAAACAAACTGCACGTGGAGTTTTCACTCATCTCCTTTTACGAATACACTCAACAGAATTCATTGGAATAATTCTTTTGTAGGACGGAAGATTTAATCGCGAGATAGATGCACTAACTGGGTACAGAACACGAGCGCTTCTCTGTATGCCTATTAAGGACTGCAGTGGTGACGTGATTGGTGTTGCCCAAGTTATCAATAAACTTGGTGGTGAAGCGCAATTTACAACACAAGATGAAAAAATATTTGCAAGTTACCTTCAATTCTGTGGTATTGGACTTAGAAATGCTCAGCTGTACGAGAAAAGCCAGCTGGAGGTCAAGAGAAACCAGGTGAAGATGGATTAACTTGACAACAGGAGGATTAATTAACTTCTGTTTTTATGATATATTTTTCTTTCCATGTTTGCAACTCAAGGTTCTCTTGGATTTGGCCAGGATGATCTTTGAGGAGCAGAGTACGATAGAACACATGGTATACAGAATTTTGACGCATACGCAGTCGCTTATTCAGTGTCAACGTGTTCAGGTGAGCGGTGAGATTGTATTTGGTGAATAACATGATATTCTAAAATTACGTTTTTACCATTCAAGTGCTAAATGATGTCATCAGAATATTGGCTGTTTACGTAGAGGGACATCGAGACTCATTACAAGACGAAATCTCTAAATAGTGTTCATGAATATTTATTTTTTTGCAGGTACTTCTCGTGCACAAAGCGTCAAAGGGAAGTTTTTCCAGGGTTTTTGACTTTGAAGCTAATGATCTCACTGTGGAAGATACTGATTCAAGAACTAGGTAATCATTCATCCTAATTGCAATTCTTCTAATTGTTTGCTTTTTAATGGCAGTCCACCAAGCTTCAGGTTTCACGATTTTGCGTTGGCATTGTCAAATGTTTACAATCATATTCTTAAAACACTTCCGTATGGATGTATATGCATATGTGGGGTCATGGTTATTCAAGAATACCTCCGTAATGAATATATTAAATGATATGAAGGCCTACTGAATGGAGACATCAATTAGCGCTATCTATTAAGCTTAATTGAAACTCTATCTGTGCTGTAATGTTTTGTTATTGCCATAAAGTGAAAGAGACGTAAGTGGTATGTATAAGCATAGCTTTGCGCCGTTTTGCCTCCACAACGACGATATTGATGCTTCTCATAGGAGGATCTTCCAGCAATTATTGAATAGCTTCATATCTAAAACTAACTGCTTCTTTACTATTTTCTCTACAATTGAGAATAATTAAATCAACTTTATCAAGTACGGAGTTATATTATGACCTTGAATTAGCATTTGGATGTGTATACGGGGGATAGCGATTTAAAAATTTCATCGTGACAGTTACTGTATTATCAACTTCTAAATATTATGTTCGCAATTAACAATTCTTGTAATACCAAATTTTTTAGAAGACACGTATGGAAAAATCGTATAGAAATTTTCTATATGGATTGCGTATAGAATTTCTATAGGATTTTCGTATATAATATTCGAATATTTCTATACGGATATTTTTTATACAAATTATTTCTATACGATTTCTATAGGTTTGATCCTGTACGACCCACTGCCACATGTATAGAAACATTTCGTATGGAATTGCGACACTTCTCTACGTTTTTCTCTGGAGCGTTTAGACATCTTTCGCATGAAAACAAAAATTTATGTAAAAATTTATGTATAGAAATAATTCGTGTAGAAAATATTCGTTTAGAAATATCCGAATATCATGTACGGAACTCCTGTAGAATTTCTATACGCAATCCGTATAGAAAGTTTCGATACGATTTTTTCATAGGCGCATATATCCCCTCGTTCGTATATTGATGGAAAATAGAGTTTATTATTTAACGTACACAAAAAAATGTATCCACTCTGAAGCAGATTTTCAATTAATTACCAAGCAGGAACAGTTATATGGAACAGTAATTGAAGGCAATTGTCTGCTTATTTTTGTTCTGAATGCGTTGAATAATTGGTAACTTGTTCATTTACATTACAGCCCATTCGAGAGCAGATTTCCAATGAACGTGGGCATCACTGGTTATGTTGCGACAACAGGCGAGGTAAGTTTTATCGTCTACAATGTTGTTTTATTATTTTCAATTTCTGAAAATGAGGTGTTTTAAAAATTAAATAGAATCTCACGAATTAACAATGAAAATCATTTCAATGTCATTGCTCTGTTGTTCAGCGGAATATAGAGAAGTGTGTGATGATTCCAGACAGTATCAATTCCAAATGCATACGAGGACCCGCGGTTCGACCCATCGGTGGACGAGGGCACTGGGTTTCGGCATAGAACTATTTTATGTATGCCAATTAAAAATTCGTCGGGACAGATCATTGGAGTCATCCAATTGGTTAATAAATTTGATGATTTGGTATTTACGAAGAATGATGAGAACTTTGTCGAGGCGTTTGCTATTTTTTGTGGAATGGGAATTCATAATACACACATGTAAGATCTCTTATCACCCTTCGAGGACGAATGAAATATAAAAACTTGTTTTCTAATGGAGACGAATTAAATTTTCCTTTAATTTTCAAGGTATGAAAGGGCGATTATAGCAATGGCCAAGCAAAGTGTCACTCTAGACGTATTGAGTTACCACGCCTCAGCCTCTCTAGAAGATGCACAAAAACTAAGGGTGAGTGAAATCGATGAATCAGTCATAAATTCGATTAATCCTGTACTGAAGTCGTGAGAAGTATTCGAGCCTATATCTCCATCAGTTTAGTCCAAAATCTTGAAAGAATTTCATGAGATAATTGTGTCAAAAGCTGCAAAATGAAATAAAGTCGACTTATTACATCTCCCGGTTTCAACGCAGTTTTATCGCGAGAGAAAAATACTAATGTGCTTATTTTTATTTCCCGGCGTCTCAGCAGGCGTTCAGGGTCCCCTCGTCGGCTTTTCTCGATCTTCATGATTTCAAATTCGATGACATCCAGATGAAGGATAATGAAACCCTCAGCGCTTGTTTAAGGATGTTCTTGGACCTTGATTTCATCGAAAGATTTCACATCGACTACGACGTACTCTGCCGATGGCTACTGAGTGTCAAAAAAAATTATCGTAACGTTATTTATCATAATTGGAGACATGCTTTTAATGTTGCCCAGATGATGTTCGCAATTTTAACGGTGAGCGATTGATAACGAAAAGATAAACGTAAATGAAGAGAATGAATGTCAATAAACACTTATCTTATTAAAGGCAACACAGTGGTGGAAGATTTTTGGGGAGATCGAGTGCTTAGCTCTAATGATCGCCTGCCTTTGTCACGACCTCGACCATAGGGGGACAAACAATTCTTTCCAAATAAAGTAAGCAAGAAATAGTTGATTAGGTTTTTGTGTACAATACGCACCCTTCTTCAATATATTAATTTTTTCATTTGGACATCTCTGGGGTTCTCTGCCAGCCACGCCACTGTCTTGGGTTTTTTGGATAACGTCAAACGTTGGTGGATTTATAGAAAGACTATATTTAATTGAATTTGAAAGTTAATTGCCTTTAGGAGAGAGATGGTACATTGGAAGGTGATGGTCATTAACCAGATCATGCATAAAATTATATGTGATGTATCAGAGTTTTTAAATCAAATGGCAAAACTCGGTCCCGATGTAGTAAGAACTTTTTCTTGGTAGCGTATCCCTTTGTAGAGGAGGATAGGATAAAATGTACATCTGACTTTTTCTTTCTAATGTTCGTAGTTCAGGAACATTTTTATTCAGTAGAGTTAGTCTAGAAAAATCACAAAAGAAAATTTACTTTCAGTAAAAAAAGTTATCCTATTTCATTGATTATTTTTCTCACTCGGATTTCAACCGATCAGAGCGCAATATTTGAGTATCCGTGCGGATATGACGAAAAAGACTTTTAGACTTCGCGTGCCTAAAACGTTCCTTTTCCACACATTGTGATGAACAATATCGTTCGATACTCGTGGAAAAATTGTTTTTTGGCTCGTGGGATTATATCACTCGCCTTCGGCTCGTGCTATAAACCTCCCACGAGCCAAAAAACACTTTTCCGCACTCGTAACGAAATATACTATTTCGTTTACTTTTAGTTTACGAGTAAACGAAAAGGCACTTTTCGGTACGGGGTAAACGTAGTAGCAGTGCCAAAATAGTACATTACATGCCCGAACCTTGGAAAACATATCACCCTCCCCCACGTGCAAGATTGCCTTCCGAGCCGAAGGCGAGGATGACAAGCACGTGGGGGAGGGGGATATGTTTTCCATGGCGAGGTGTGTATATTAATTTTCAGGTCCCACGACACGAAAATATCATTTCCTCATGTTTCCTAACATTCTAGACCATTTGCAATAAAGATTAGAGAATCGAAAAATCGGTCAAATACAAGGCTTCCATTCGGAAGCCATAGGAATGTTGAAGTATACGGAAAATTTCGAAAATAATAATTGAAATTTGATTGACCTTATATTTTCAGAGCTTCTTCACCCCTCGCCCAACTCTATTCTACCTCAACAATGGAGCACCATCACTTCGATCAATGCCTCATGATCCTCAGTAGTGAGGGGAATCAAATCCTCTCGAATCTATCACCAGAGGAGTACTCCCGTGTTGTTAAAGTCCTCGAGGAGGCTATTCTAGCAACAGACTTGGCTGTTTACTTCAGTAAACGTGGGGCATTCCTCAGTATTGCACGTTCACGTACATATAATTGGGGGTACGGTGAGCATCGGGAATTGCTGCGTGGTATGCTGATGACAGTTTGTGATTTAGCGGCCATTACAAAACCATGGGAAATTGAGAAACGCGTGGCAGAACTAGTCAGCAGTGAATTTTTCGAGCAGGGAGACATTGAGAGACGTACCCTCAATATAACGCCTATAGTATGTGCAATAATTCCTTTTTTTCTCTCTCTCTCTCTCTCTCTCTCTCTCTCTCTCTCTCTCTCTCTCTCTTTCTGTCTCTCTCTGACGCAATGATATGATGATTGAAATTTTGCATCAAGTTTCTTACTCTAAACAGGTAGGGAAGTTTGAAAATGTAGGGAAGGGGAGACCAGATTTAAATAATGAATTGAATTGAATCACATCTAGTGCTCCGACTTAGATAAGAAACCGACACGATTCTTTTGAAAAATGTCTGTTGAAAAGTTTTTTGATTAAAAGTTGAATAGGACCAACTTTTTCAGGGGTCCATTTTACCCCGCTATTGAATAATTTTTCGGTTCTGGACTTTGCCAAGAAGCAATTTTTACAAATTCTATGATTGAAAATTTTTGGAGGGTCCATTTGGTCTATCTTATATGTATTTATCAGGTGTCCATATTGGCCAATGCAACAATTTTCAAAAATCAGAATTTTGAAGAAAAAAAAAGTTGGGAAATGTTTTGAGTATCTGTTTTACTCCAAATGTCCATATTGCCCCAGCCTCCCAAAATCAATTCTAATAAAAACCGGTACTATGACGTCCTGCAATCACCTATAGCTCGGTATGAGAAATATGACTTTTTCGATTCAATTTCGATTTGCGACAATTGTGAAAAATCATGCAAAACCTCCATCAATTACCAATCTGCGTCCGAATTAAGACGGTTTCATGGGTGTTACTCAAATAATGAAACATGTTTTCTATAGTTTTACAAATGTCATCGTTTAATCATTTTGATACACGTGCATGAAGGAAAGTGTTATTCTGGGAAACTTTCACTCCAATTACACCAAACAGAAAGTTTTAACCCTCTATGGTTACACCCCCTGACGCGCCTACCTGAACACTGAGGTGATTCATCACCCCACTCCCATTGCTATATTCCCCTTCCGTTGGGAACACAACATCAAAGTGTTAAATCATTCCGATATCTTCTCCGGAACAGACTTATACCCGTAGGATTGGAATTGTGCAGTTCAATTCAACGAAAAATTTATCTAAACACTCGTAGCAAAGCCAAAAATCTGTAAAAATTCTGTTTCTAAAACTCCATTGACCTTATTTTGAAAAATCGAATGAGTTTTCCACGTACGGACTCCATTCAATGGAATGAAATCATATGAGTGCAAAAACAGATTTACACAGATTTACATTCAACTCAGAACTGAGGATCCGGCTAGGCCAATAATACTCAGAAACCTCTGACAGAAATTACTGTGTTGGATAAATGAGTGATGAATAAACTCCAGTGTAAAACTCCTCGAAACCAATGTATTTTCTTTTTATTATCTAATTCTGATGGAAGAAAGGGAAAACAGAAAGAGAAACGAGATCAACACGGAAACAGAATTTTTAATTTTTCAATGTCTGAAGAAAATTTTAAAATTGATATATTTTTTCGAATAATGAACCAATACCCATAAATTCAATTCCTATCCTGAGATTTTCATAGAATACATGGAGAAAATAGCAAAGAATTGAAATCGGCGACGAAAAACTTTATCGGATTATTATTATGTAGTAATAGTCTTCACACCCCGCCGACTTTGTAACAACGATATGATTATGTGAACGATTTTATTGAATTCAATTTCATATCTTCTCTTTTTCAGGACATCATGAATCGAGAAAAGGAGGATCAATTGCCTATGATGCAAGTCGGTTTCATCGATTCCATATGTCTTCCCATTTACGAGGTATATAAACTGAGTAATAAACTTCTCTCATTATCTCAGCAGTGCAGAAACATAAACGTCGAATGTTTCAATAGGGAATTTTCTTCATACAGTTTTCTTTTATCATTGTTTCATATTTTTATTGTACATGTCTCTCTTTACACCCAGGCTTTTGCATTATTGTCGGACAAGCTGGAGCCACTAGTCGCGGGTGTGATAGAGAATAAACAGAAATGGTTGGAGATTGCTGAGAGCAAGTGTGCAACTGGAAATTGCACGAATCACGACAGGACACCTTCGCCAACAGAGGAAACCAACCAGGATGAGATCAACCGGGAAAGCGTCACTGTCGAGTGATTCAATCATTTGCCGTATTGGTTTTTTTTCCACGCACATGAAAAAAATTAATTGGAATGATTTTAATCTCAATTACAATTTCACTTAAACCAGATGGGCAGAAAATCATCTTTAAATGGACATACAATCGCTATCCATTTCGTTGAAAAAGGAACATTTTAATGAAAAACAACCATGAATAATAGAGAAACGCTACCGCAGTACCTGATCGCATTTGAAACAGTTTGGTGACGCTCAGAATGCACATCGGAAGCAGAACAAGAAAATAGATAAAATGGCTGAACCACAAAAGCCCCGTAGCATGTGCTAGGACGATTACGCACATCCGTTTTCCTTGTACACATTACAATCAGACATTTGTAAAAAGAAGAAAAGAAAACGCATATTTATTGACATTATTGAGAACATAACGAAGCCAACAGTAACTAACTGCGCGCCCATACGTGCCAAAGACGAGTTTACTCAGTGGTGTTTTATTTCCTACTTTTTATCCCTCAATGGTTTTTCGATACGTTTCATCGTTTTTTTTATACCAAAGTATCAACTTTTTTTTCCTTCTCAGCTGAATGAAATCGAAGCCACTTTGCTTTTAATTGTTTCATTGATTTGCGAGAACACATCTAGTGACACTTGTGATTACGCTATATTTTCGATTAAACAATTGAGTTTCATTATGTGGAAACATTTAATGAATTCAATGGAAATTCAAAAATAGCAAGTAATGAACAATTATAAGAGAAATATTGAATGAATTTATCAAACCAGTCGTTGATGGGTAGAGGCTTTAATGTCTCAATTAACGAGGCTGTCACAAGCACATGAAACCCAAACGACAATGACCACGTTTATCGAATAAAGACTGATTGGCGATGAGGCACGCGGTGTGACAGCCCAACCGTGTTAATATCGATTTGGTTTCCAACCGTTGAACCATATCTCTTCCCTCATCCTCTTACCATATTCACACGTATATGTAGTAATATCTCGCAAATATTCCGTCAATCAAATTGACGAGGCGAATCTCTGGGACCCAATTTTTTAGACTAAATTAATTTTTGTCCGGAAATTTTGACATTTTAAAACATGAAATTCGACTGTATCCAACTATTCTTTCAATTCTAAAGCAAAAGGAGTGTTTTGAGAATGTGAAAAAAAATGCTAAATATCATTTATCCCTCGTACTGGCAATCGAAGGAGTATTAAACGAAGCTTCGAGTTGACAATTCTACCTTTAGAATTTAAGTCATGGAAAGAGCACATAATGCAATAGGTGGAGTTAAGTTATTTATACTGATTTAATTTTAGGATTTAAACTTATTCAATGACGTTTAAGCACAAGAGAAATATGTATATTGTATATGAAACGATATCTAATATATTTGAGAAATGAGAAATCAACAATTCCTGTGTTCATTCCACTGTTTATTCTCTTTTCCTCTTTCGACATCAGTTATTTTTTCACATATTTCAAGATTGGACGGAAGTGGTGAAAAGTTCATCGAGTTCATTTCGCCAACGACGGATATGGTGTTGAATTCCCAAAATTTTAATTTTTTGAATTATCTTACATGGTTTTATCAACAAAGACTAGATTTTCTTTGTTTTATTAACGCATACGAAAAGTCAATTTGTTATAGCAATTTTCGTGCACTACTTACTGAGGATTCTAGGACAGTTTTTCCCCGGACAAAATTTCTCGGACAAAATCTCTCCGAAAAAGAATTTCCCCGGACATAATCTCCTTGAAAAACGAATTTGCGATTAGGAAACCGGATCCGGCCAAAATAAATATAATGATAATGCTCAATTAAAGGGGTTTTTATTACTGAATCGGACAATAGAATACATGAAATTATCGAGTCTTTAGCCTCAGTGAAATTACAAAGGAACAAAGGTAATAGAAATGATAGGGAACATATAACAATAAAAACTTGGGAATTATCAATACATTTCTCCTATGCCACACCGTCAAATCGCATAATCGCATTAGCAAAGTCACGAACATAAATCTCTAGAACCAACAAAATGTGAAATGCGCGAATGTGTGTGCGATGTGTGTGTGTTTTGTATGTTTCACAAAATGTGAATGTGAAATGTGTGTAATGTGTGTGTGTGTATTATTAATGTCTCTTTGGTAATCTCTTGCAAAACCAATTATTCAAAACAAATCATCAGGACAAAGAATTTAGTAGGACGGAGAGATTTTGTCCGGGGAAATTTTTTTTCAGGGAGATTTTGTCCGGGAAATTTTGTCCGGGGAAAAACTGTCCGGCGAAAAACTGTCCGACTACCCTTACTGAGTAGTGAGCTCACTACGATTCTCACCATTAAAAATAGTACGTCACATGCAAGATTGCCTTCCGAGCCGAAGGCGAGGATGGCAAGCACGTGGGGGAGGGTGATATGTTTTCCATTCAAAGATATTTGTAAAAACTATACGATTTTATCCGAACAATTGTATCAGTGAAGGCGACAAACTACATATCGATATTTATGTGGAGGCCTTTTTTGTTACGGAAAGAATTGTCTCTTTCATTGGACATAGTAGATTTCACCAACGATAATCATTGTGTATTGACGACTGACATTATAAGTTTTCACTATGTGTTACACAAATCCTATCGTAGCATTGTTATTCAAACGACTGTCGTTGTATCTTGAACTCTTGTATTGCCGTGAGACGGCATCTCTCTAATTTTTCCTCCAGTATCATTATGTTCTCAGTAAGTGAATAGAAATCTCCGAAATACTTTTCACACCCGAAACTAGCGTTTCCTAGAATCCTAACATATTTTTCATGGATCTCAATTCAAGTCGTCTCATTTCATTTTCTCACTGTTTCGCTCAATTTACCCCGAACAATCTAATAAGGTCATGCACAGAAATTGACAATAGATTCTTTTAGAATGACGAACCCAACCCCCAAGAGGAAACAAACAGGTTTCCGACATTATTCTCGAGTGCATACTGGGGAAATTGAGGGCTACCAATAATTCCACACGTAATTGGCTAACGATGGGGGTAGAGACTCGATGAGTCTTGGCTGTTGGCAATGTGTGGGCGCAAGTCCCATAAGGATTTTTGCCCACCACTGGAAAGTGTGACGGCGGCGCAGCTGGAACCAGGGGCTTCAGTGACTACTGTGCGCGGCTCAGCCTCGGACAGTCGCCAACGAGCCCTCGAACGAGCTTTATCCGTTTATCGTCGTGACTGTTTATATGTTTACTTCACAAGTAAAACTACTCACCTATCAATCCCGCATCGTTAGCATCGGGTGAATGCGCTTTTGAGGTTTTTCTTTTTCTCCTGAAATGTCACGGATTTTCTAATGAATTTTTTTTTGTGAGTGAGATGTTTGTCATGGTGTCAATTAATTCCAATGGGTGACTAAGACCAAATCAGTAGACTCCCACGTTTCTTTAAATCTTGACCCTCTTTCATCGTTGACTTGTGGCCTCTGGCCACTTATTGTTAAATGCACTGGTCTCTGACCCAATCTGGAGAGTTTTGTATGTTGTTCAAAGCATTTTACGTGATCTTGGATCTCACTGATGCTACATGAGGTAAGCTAAACTAAAAGCTCTGTGTTCCTTGTTTCATTGCTTCAAAGCGGTTTGAAAAGGATTCAAGACATTTTCAGTGGATCTCTCAGCTTGTCGATATTTAATAATTATATTTGAAGTCACCGTGGGTCGGAGGTTGCTCGCTTCTGCTGCATCGATCGCCCTTACGCTCTAGCCTCATATTTCCTGGATCACATCCCTTTATTTACCCTCCCTCTCCCTGCCGTGCGTAGGCACGCTACCGTCCCACTCAGTATTTCTCAATTTCAGTTAAACCCATTATTCTGTTTTTGCACAATTTCTTGGTAATTGAATCGGGTCCAGTTTTTTTTTCATACGCAGTACAGAAATATTCTTGTTTTATGGATGTTTTCATGTGTCGAAGGGTGGTTGACGTTGAACGTTTATAAAAGCCACCTGTCGATTCGCTACATTTACAGGTCAATTTTCATTAAAATCTCATTCCTCAACCATCTGTTGAGGGGCTAAGTTTCATCTACATGTTTGTAGCGCAATTGAAAATAATTAGAGAAGGATAATGGTTATTCTGTAACGTAGATTGCTGAATTTCTAACATTTTATCGATTTATTAATCTGCTTACAACGATATTATCCGGGACACGCGGCCACTTCTGCTTTGGCCTTTGACAAGCGACTCGTGAAATTTCTCTCCCCTCTTTGCAAGGGGTTTAGTAGGTACTAGCCTGTCTCACGTATTCCCTGAGTCGAGAGAGTTGGTCAACATGTGGGAAACTGAATATAGGGAACACTCTGGCCCACGTAATTCCTCATTGTTCGTCATCACTGGACATGGTAAATAATAATAGGATAAGAAAGGAAGGACAGGTACATATGTAGGGGAGGTTGGGGCCAAACGGACACTTTTGACTTTTTTTTAAATGTTAATGAGGGGATGAACTGTTGATAAAATTTAATTACTTTTTTTTCAATACAAAGACCAATTCTTTCCCTTTGTGACGAGCCTAAATTGAGCTCAACTGATAAATTTGTTTCTAAGTTATGAATAAATTTAAAAAAGTCTAAAGTGTCCATTTTACTCCACTCTCCCCTACTGAACATGGAGATGGTACGATGGGTTTGCCTATTGAAATGTTTGTTTGTCGCAGCAAATGAGCGGAGACGTGAATTTTTGGTAAGCTTCACTAAATTAAAAAAAACTAGGTCGATGTCTGGGAAGACCTTTGCTTATAGAGCAGATAGGACTCTCCGCATACTTCGTAAGGGGATTCTTGACTGTTCTGAACATCCTCCCGCCTAAGAAGTAAGATTTTGGTGACCCCCCCCTTCCTCACCGAGACCCTACGTAAGATCGAGTGAAATCGAATGGGGGAGAGTTAAATGAGGATTGATGCGGGATGGTCAAACGAGGGAGAGCTAAGCCAGGGGGCGTTGGACGAGGAATGATCAGAACTCGTTTGATTCTTCTTCGTTTGGCCATTCCTCATTCAACTCTTCTCTGTTTAACCGTTTCACGTTTCACCATTTCTTAGTCGACTTGTCACTTCTTGGGTAAGGTTCTCATGGATCCCCTCGCCACTCTCACGTAAGGAAAAGTAGGAAATCTTAAATCCCTTCATCCCTTAATGTCTTACGTAATTTATGGATACCCTTAAAGTGATGCTAATGAAATCATCTTCATCGCACGCCAGTCAGTAAACCAGGAATTTCCCTACGCGGAGACGTTGTGCGAAATAGTATATGGTGTTACAGGCGTAAGAAATTGGGAATATTAATACAAATGGGATAATGTTTTTATGGAATAGCGCGGGGCTGCACGTCGTCTACGACTGTCCCTCAAAATGTTAGCAGACAAGTTTGATGTTGCACCTTTTTCACACGTGTGACGTGCACTATTTGTTGAAATTAGTGTTTGGAAAAATCATACACAAATGTTCTTTATAGCACTAGATTTGCAGGAATTCATCATAAACTTCAGGACCTGAATAATAAAAAAAACTTCAGGACCTATCAGGAATTAAATGCAATTTGATACAAACGAGACTATTTCTGTTGGTTTCTGAGGAAGGCTATTACGTTCTCTTTATAGAAAACGTACCAATAGAAAAATTGTATAGGAAGATGAGTAATTCCACGTCAAATATGATATGGAAAAAAATTGCATGCTTCCGATTGTTTTGGCGATCATAAAAATGCACTTTATACACAAAACTCTGTAAACAAAATGGAACTGTTCTAAGCATGTGTTTTAGCCCCTCGAGGACGGGGCTCATACCAAAATTCAAAATTGATTATTTCTAAATTCATGGATGGTAGCTCGATCATACAAATATATTATTGCACAGAGAAAATACAATAGTAAACATTGCTATGTCGAAATACGCACCAAAGTGGGTTCCGACATCCAAAACGTTACCGAAGTTTTGTAAGTATTACTATGGATACGATAATAGCTACCATGGAACATCGTAATGCTTAAGCTCGTTAATGGTAATAGGTCCGATGGATATAGCAATAATCACTATGTTACGTAGTAAGCTCAACTTTTTTAACATAATATAGCTTACTAGGTTGAAAAATAGAGCTTACTATGTTACGTAAAATGTCTTATAACCCATAAAGAAAGTATTCTAAATAATTAAATGCCATCAAGGAATGAAACATGAGTAGATCAATGTTAGACACAGAAATATCATTAATCACTCAGAAGATTCATTGAACTCAACAGTTCAATGACCATTCTCCACGATGTTTTTTTTACCATGGGTCTTAGGTGTATTTATGGCGGGAATAAATAAATACCAGTGACTTTTGTCGGTTTTCATTCCGCACTCCATCATGTACATTTCTAATTAGTTATATTTCGTCCATTAATAGGTCAAAATTGGTCATACAATTTCAGAGTAGGGGTGCAATAATGCTCTTTCAAATGGATCCAAAAAACGGGAGGGCTCACGTGTAGAGCTGCAAGTTTATATAATACCTTAAGGGTTAAATATGATGGTTGAAGTACTAAAGATCAGATATCATATGTGAAATATTGAAAGATGAGGTCTATTCTGTCAAACGCTGATATTTAGCCTTCAATATTTGTCGACCCTATTAACTGTAGGTAAACAATCTTCCATTTTCATACATAGAAAATGATGATGCAGCTGATGACACTAGCCGATTTTATAATCGATATTCTCCACACGATATTTTGCTCAAGATCCTTGACCCTCAATGTTTTACCGATGATGCTAGATCCGTAAAAGTGTTGCCCCATTATTCATGAATATAATTTTCTGTTGTTAAGGTATTGAGCTGCTGTCGGATTTTCCCCGCCGTCTCATTTTACCCTACGGTTCCTTCTACCCCGGTGGCTCGTTTTATTCAACATCTTCTATGATTGATCGTGATTCTGGGGGAACATTTGAAAATGCGATATTCCATAGACAATTCCCTCAATTCTGGTTTTGACCAATCAAAGTGCAGTATTCGGAATCACGTGACGCGTTTCACACTGATAATTTCCCCGACTGCAGGGAAATTACCAGACTGATAATTTCCCTGCAGAAAATTTTCATTAAATAATATTCCCTGCTTTCATGATATAGATTCATCAATCACATTACTGCTTTCTATCAATCGTATTTTTCCGGGGTATTGCGATAGTGTTTTCACTCATGTGGAGTTGACGTCCGAGCCGAAGGCGATTTAAAAAAAACCCTCGCAATAGCTCCGGGACAAGATGTCTTCATAGCGATTTTCAAGTTTCTGATTTCGACAAATATGCAATGCCAATTCCCAGACGATGAATCGTGAGACGCAGTATACGAAAGATGAATTTGGCCAGCGAACAAACGGCTTCACATGAATGAAAAATATTAATTTATCATCTCTTCCTCCCTGCCTGCTAAAAAAACGCATTCATCGAAAAGCCGAATAGAGTGTTGATTACTAATCAAAAAGACATTATTTGTTTTGTTGAAGCTGGATAATGACGGCCCACTCTTCTCAAAATAATTGAGAAAATACGATCACTGGTCATGATAAAAAATAGCCTGAATTTTCCGTATAATCAGCATTGAGAGATTATTGTCAGGGTGAAGAAACTGGCAATGAGGAGAAACTGGGATCCTGCGGCGCTCAGAGTAGCGACCGCCCGGTTACCACACGCGCACAGCAGGCAGCCAATATTTGTATTGGAGCGCAGGGGTATTCGGTGGCACTAGAGAGATACGGAGGAATTCATAAAAAAGAAGACGAAATAGATAGCCTGCGAGAGGTTGGCTCTCTTCACTACAATTATCGTAGTTTCCTCCTCTCCCTATCTCATTTCCCCTCTCTATTTTCCCCTGCCCTCTCTATTTTCCTTTTTATTTCCGCCGTCTTTTCCTTGAATATAACTTAGTTTGATGAGATTGCATGATAAACAAGGAAACTTTGTTGCATATGAAAATATGACTTCAGGAGGAATGGAGTACGCTAAAAGTTGGCAAACTGTGGCTCTTCATCTGACCACAACGACCATAGCTGTTATGACATATGTACATGCTACTGTAGAAGCGCAGAGCACACTCAGGGATAGTCTAGCAGCGTCAACTACGGCTTTTCCTCGAGAGAGCTTGGAGCCCTTTGATGGCCGGAGGGTAACTACTGGTTTATGTAGTAGAAATGAAATTCACATTTTCATGCCCATTTCATATTCCCAGGTCATACGGGATTTAAAGATACTGAGAGCAATAGTTCTGATATTTCATTCGGAATTATGAACTCCTTTCTATTGGATTCGTATTTGCTTTCGTTAATTGGTTCTAGGGGAATTCTATTGGTTTCCGCATTTCACTGTGGAGAAAATTTCGAGGGATTTTAACATCAGACCCAAGATGTCCGAACACCGATTTTGAAGGGAAATTATATTGATACTGCACTCTACCGTATGCAGTCTCAAACTCCATTGAAATTGTATCTTTTTCGTGGTTCATATCAGTCTTCGTGCATTACTTTTGAGTCCAATATTCTAGTTTTTACTTTTAGAAAATTTCAATGTTTTTTTTGTTTCGGATAAAGGAAGCTCATGAATCGGTTTTCCATTTTCAGGTTGATTTGTGATTTCCCTGATACGATTCTTTGACAAAGATCATTCGTTTTTGGGATTTTTGAAAATTATGATGTTTATCTATCTGATATCAATTCATACACAGTAAAAAAAATCGGTGGTATTGTCTCTGGTGTGAGGGGTTAAATATTCAGGCGTTAAAATTAACTCGCCCGGAGTGAAATTTTGGTACGGAATCAATTTTTATTCTTCACACCGAACTGATTAATATGTTCATTTTGATACCATGGCAGTGTCAATTTTCACTCCACTCGCTGTATTTCATTCCGGAATAAATTAACTCCGTACATTCACACCGAAAAACGGTGTGGACTGATTTTCACTCCGTTTGGTGCAGACTCAGAGTCGCAATTCACTCTGGATTTTTTACTGTGATATTCTCAAATGCAATTTTTTGTGATATTTTAACAATGATATTTTATCGATGATATTTCTGGTTATTGCCATTTTTTTGATAGAACGTTCATGAACTTTTAGAAAAATTCAGAAACTTCGCAGTGGGTTCGCAGTGGGGAAGGGGTAGAAGGAAATAAAGCTGAAAATCCAATCTCGACATTTTTGAAGCTGATTTGATGGGAAATGTCGAATTTACAAAAAACAAAAATTTATCGAATAGATGACAGAATATTTCCTCCTTCCTCCAACCATTGAGGACAATTACAAAACAATCTACATTTTCACCAAGATACCTCTCCTACTGAACATTCAACTTAGAATTTTATTCATAATTAGATGTTCTTCAAACTCTTTTCCAATGATGCCGTCATTTTGACGCATCCTTCCTTTTATTGTTGCATTTGGTTTTTCGATTATTCGATGATATTCCGGCAACGGTCTGATTGCGCTGTGGAACACCATAGAAGTCATCAATAAAACCCGATACGAATCCAATAGAGATCGGAATTGAGCTTCTCATTTCACCGGGGTAGACCAACTCAAATATGAACGAGCATTGATTTTTTTCATGTTTGGTGGTGCATGAAGGCATATTGGAAAATTAAAAAATGTTTTTTTATTGTTTGGGGAATTGGGGATGGATTTTCTATTAATGAAAATTGTTTAATGGCAGGCGGATGTCGAGGAGGCCTTGGATATTATTGAAGATGCATCCTCCGGTGCGCTTGGGGAGGTCTGCGCGTCGATTACTGGTTACAAATCTCTACCAGCTGGTGCTGCACTCGATCCCCGGAGATTTGACATCGCCAGGCAGAAGGTAGACATGGCGGCTACTTTATTGCAGAACCTTGGCTCTGTGCGGGATGCAGGTATTTTTTTGTAAACTTTTAATAGTTTTCCTTGTTTCAAGAGTGAACTGGTGAAACCGAATTTCTTTCCGGACAAAAACAATGAAATTCGGATGTTGCGCAATGAAAAGAAAACTTATTATTTGTTCCTCAATAATGTTAATCATATTTATTCGGTTTTTTATACGGACTAGGTAGATTTTTTTGATAAAAATGAAGAGTGTTCGTTTTGCCGCAACTTCCAGAAAAAATTGTTCTATTCCTATACAGAGCAAATAAAATAGTAAAAATTCCTATGTCGAAATTCGCACATAGTAAATGTTACTAAAGTTTAGTAAGTATTACTATAAACATGGAAATAGATACCATGGAACATCGTAATGGTTACTATGTTACATAGTAGGCTCTACTATGTTAACATAGTTCAGCTTATTATGTTACGTAAAATGTCCTATAACACATGAAGTTATTCTAAATAATTAAATACCATCAGGGAATGAAACATGAGTAGATCAGTTTTAGACAGAGAATAGTATATTATCGCCATGTGACATACGATATTTTGTATTGAGTATTGAGTGTGCAGTTTATTGTCTTCTCCACATTTCCCATGACCCTACTTCCTTAATATTAACTATGGAGATTAATAATTTCATTGTTTGATTGTATTCTCAAACTCTACTCAAAGAATCTTATTTCCTTTTAACGTGAGCATGTCGGACATCTTTTCTTCCAGTCCTGCTAAATGCAATCGCGAGGTCATTGCTGTTGTCGATGATGAGTGCAGTGGCAGCCAGGGTCATTGTGTTCAATGCAACAACGGACATTATCGTTGCTGAGACCTGGCTCAAGCGTGCCCTCGGGAATATGGGTGAACCGATGAAGTTGGAGAGTGAATTATTACGCGTTGGCTATCGACCAGATCCCGGGCTTCCTTGGTTCGAGAATGCTGACGGGTCGAGTGCCAGTTTGAGGTTCTCATTAATTTACTAGCATCACAAAAACATTGTTCACACATTTGTTCAACGTCTTTGTATGTCTAGATCGCCGAAATTCATTCAATCAGCCCCAACTGACTCGTACCTAGGTTGGTGGACTTTGCCGTACATCTCCTGTAAGACCAGACAGTGGCTAATTTCGTACAGTGTTTACGTACGACCTTGGGACACGCGACATGGGTGAGCACCACTCTTAAATCACTTATCGCCTTTTATCTATTGCAATAAAAAAAGGCATGAAAAACCTGAATATATTACAGTCCAATCTTCGTACAAGATACCACAGGGACTGTAGGGGAATAAAATTACGAGAATTGCGTATCCCCCAATTTACTTGCGCTCAGAGGAGAAAATATTTTGATTTGATATTCCTCGTATAAGTTACCAGACGATTTCCATTTTTATGATCATTTGAGGAGGATTCCTGATGCGAAGAACGAATGTTTGATTAGAACGTATCGTTCTTTTTCAAAATAACGATTTAGAAATTCGGATTAAACTAGTTTGTTAATAGGGGCCTGCGAGACAAAATTTAGACTTTTATTGGAATTTTGGTTTTCATAAAAATTGGGTGGAATATTGTTTTGTTTTGTCTATCTATTCATGTAATAAATGGACGTAACACATGAAAATAGATATTTTACCAAGTTTTATGACCGATACGTTTAATTTTTGTTATTAACTGTAAGGAGTGTCCATTCGTTTTGAAATTCAATTGATGTACAATTAAGTTCTAGATCATAGGCGGATATATTTCCAGTAATTTCTGCAATATCTCAACTCCATTCCCACTCAATTCTAGCCCCTTTGTCGAGTATCTTGGACGAAGAATGCGAAACGAAAAACATTCATGCCAGAAAGTGGGGGTATCACGCGGCACGGATTCAGGCCTAGTATTTTGTACGAAAGTATCTTGTACGGAGACTGAACTATATATTACATATTTTTCATCCAAGTACATGCGAGATAATGGAGTAAAAGCTTTTAGATCTTTTGCATTGTTCCTCCGCTTTTTGTATTGTAGCATTCGAGATTTTCTGAGCATTGACATCGACATTAGTGGGCTCGAAGTGAATCAGTGCGATTCTGAGACGCTAGAAAGGACTTCGAATGAAAAACAGATGAATAATCACATCGAGTCTTTTAGAGGCTCTCACAAATGTCACGACGATACCACGCAAGTAAACATGCCAAAAGCCAATGAAACTTAATTTTATAAAAATTTTATGATTTGCGGATGTTATATAGAGAGTTATTACGTAATTCAATTAATACTTCGTTGGTCGCGCTGGATTTACGAACGTCGTTGGTCGCGTCATTAACACCGCGCTGCACAGCAATAATCGACATAGTCATTAATTTGAAATATCTAGGAACAATCTGTAAAAATACAAACATTATGTGTAAAAGCTAAAAGTTGAAATGTTTTTCGGAAAATTTGCCTTATACACAGTACACGGCCTGGAGTTTCGGCAAACAAATTTCAAAATATTACTATTTATGATATTTTTGGATGAAATTTTCATTGATCAGGCTTCTAGACACTTCAAAATAAGTTTTCAATTTTTTAAAATTTTCTCCGAGGCTTGACTACAGTGGTATTAAAAAAAATTGGAAAAAGTGCGACGCGGCGCTCATAGGGCGACCAACGGAGTGTTAACCCGTCAGCACTCGCGTCATATGACTTTCTGTTGCAAAAAATTTCAGGGTATAGGGAACATACTCCAAAAATTAAGATTTTGGCTTGAAACATTTTGATGGCCTCAAGCAACTATCCCTTTTTCCTCTGGGGTCAATAAAGACCGTCTAGCATGTTTCAATAAATTATAGAAAAATATTTTATCGAGCTCGGACGAGGAGGGTACCGGGGTGAATAAGAGAGATATTTCAACCCGCCGTACCCATGCTTTCTCGAGGTTCGTCACGCGAAATAGAGGATTTTCCGCATTTATTTTCTCGATGTCTAGTTCCGGTTGCGGGTTTGAAATTTCGTCAGATGGATGAATACATATTCCTCCGATGGTGGAGGGAAAGAAAAAATTTTTTTTGAATCGTTCTTCAAATTCACTTGGCACCCTTAACTCCAAACGTCATTAAAGATCATTCAACGAGATTAAGAAGGGGTGGAGGTTCTGTAATTTCTGATATTTCGCGGCGGAGGGGAGGAGGTTACCTAGGATGTGATATGACACTGTAGTTAACGAAGATAATTTGAGGAGATGAGGAAGTCACTTTAAGACCTCCACACGGAGAGAAATATTCAATAAAAATTACGTATCTTTTCCGTAATTCCGGAGCGAAATGTGGTTGTAGGAAATTTTACGGAACTGTCACGGAATTTTTCCGGAGCGTTCCATAATTTTTATCTGAATCTGTTGTGAAAAATTACGATACCGTCACTTTAATTTTCTGAGTCGATTCCGTAATCGGTGAGTGAAGTGAGAGTTCCGTAATTTTTACTGAACATTTCTCTCCGCGCAAGGTTCTTATGTTAAGAACCCCAATTCCTACAAATTCCCTTCAATTCCTACAAAAACTAACTAAAAACGATTCTTGCTTACGGATTACGCGAGTAGGTCTGTAATCTTTATTGAATATTTCTCTCCATGGATGGATTAATATTTGATGATTTGTTGCAGTGCGTATATAGAGGACCACACATGCGTAAAAATACGGAGATAGGAGGTGCAAGAGTTGGTCCTGGATGGGCCAAAGGCGCGTATGTTTGCCGATGCCGCGAGGGCTTTTACAGCCCCGCCACTTACATGAGAAATGGGGAACCTGTTGACTTTGACGGAGAACTCGTTGAGGGTATGTTGTCTACTCTATAAACGTTCGAGACAGTATTTGTCTTCATTGGCTAAAAATTGAGGGCTTTCCTTGCAGCTGTTTGGAAGGATATGCAGATGAACAAGAGCCGTTTGTACAAGGAAAAGTTTCGATGCATCAAGTGCGCCCCTGGCTGTGTCACTTGTCGGGGACCTGAACCTTGCCTCGCTAGCTACAATTGGCCTTTTAGGTAACTTGATATATATCAAAAATCGAATGTCAATGGTTTTTCGTCGCAGGGTTTAACAGCCCAACATGGCCTTCGGCTAAGAATCTTTAGTCACGGAATATTGAATATTAAATGGATCTTTGCAATTGAAGATTCCGTAGAATATTCAACGGAAAGGAACTATATTAACGAAACTAGAGGAATCTCAATTCTCATTTATGGGGTCCCTTATCGGATACATTGACCTAAAAAATCTGTTAATTTCATCTTGTCAAAGTTTGTGCAATTAATTGTGCTTAACCGTTTTATGATACTCAGCTACGACTCGGACGTAACGTGGCGTGTCGTGACTTATAGTTATAATAGAGCTAATCATGATGAAAGTCAGTTTTATATGGCTCTTCATCAGCTCAAAAAATAACAGTATTTTGCTCGAATAAGAAAAAATTGAATTGTCGAAAAATTGATAAATATCGTACACCCCAAAAACGTGAAAAGTGGGTGTTAGATACACCCTAAAAAATTTTGCTGGAGAAAATCCTATAACGCGAGTGCTGACGGGTTAAACCATTGCAATATTTTGCGGTTAGCAATTGCATTGTTTTTCTTCAATTTATTATTTCAGGATCACATTGTTGTCCTTCTCGGTGTTCTGTGCCTGCTGCGCAGTTCTCCTTATCGTCTACGTCTATCAACATCGTAAGCTCAAAGTTTTCAAGGTCGCCTCACCAATTTTCCTGTCCATCACACTCCTCGGTTGTGCAATAATGTATCTTGAGGTGCATATTCTTTATTTTTTTCTGCAGATTTCATCAAAATACAGCAGATTCTCGTTATAGTCGCTCCCGTTGTAATTGCATTTCCCCTTGATCACTTTTTCACCCACGTGAAGGTTTCCCTCGCCTTCGACTACCGAATGTAAGCACATCGAGGTTTTCTTAGATGCGCCATTGTTTCCCTCTTCCTGGAAACCTTAAATGTTAAATACTTTGACAGGAATGTTGGGGGTAGGGCAATATATGTAGTCGCATTCATCGAATCGGCTTCCCCTACAGCCTCAGACATACGTCTTTAACGAGAGTCTACTGTGTTATGGAACTAACTTCCCTGTTCTACTCCTTTTTGATGATTTAACTTTAATTTTTAGATGGCTGCAATTTTTCCAGTGCTCGATCTTTACTCCTGCATTGCCACAAAATGGACGAGGCACTTGGGGTTCTGCGTCTCTTATACAGCACTTTTGATGAAAACTTGGAGGTAATCAAAACTTTCCTTCATTTCGCGTCCACTTTATTCTTCTAGCAAATGACATCTGTAAGGCGGAGTAGTAAAGGAATATGGTAATATGTAAATTCGAAAATTTCATTCAAATTATTTTGTAAATGTTCCAGGGTTTCATTAACTTATCGCGTGAAGAGTGCTCATAAAGTCAAATTGACGGACAAGCAACTTTTACAATGGATGATCCCAATTCTCCTCGTAATGCTGATATACCTCGGCACTTGGACTCTCAGTGCACCTCCTGATGCCAAAGTTATCGCCGACGGTCAGGGTTTAGAGTTTTATCAGTGTGAATACAACTGGTGGGATCATAGTTTAGCAATTGGTAATCCATTAATAGAAAAAAAAATCATTTCAATTTCATTTTTTTATACAGGGTAGTTGGTCATCTGAAGCGAACTTGCGACTTGGTCACCTTCGCGGGAATTTGCCGCCGTATTATTTAGGCTCCAGCGTTGCCGAATTCACTCTAGACTGCTCGGGCGCGTTTAGCGAGTTTCCGGCAACGTCATGCAACGGGCGATTTCATTTAACATGGGAAAAAATTGTTCAACTGTTGGAAATAATTTTGTTTCTCCAAGACTTTGAAATATAATATTTTTTTCAAATACTAAAATTTTCCAGATACATAGTTCAATTGACGAATTCAAATTTCTTCGGATTTTTCCGCGCAATCAGTAGATGGCAAGAAGAAAAAAACGACGCGCAGCGGCGTTTCCCTCGCATGGTGACCAATTTAGGATTAAGGGATGAAAGAGGGTGAAATCAGAAGTCAAAAATAGTTCGATTTTCGTAACAATTGCCTATGGGAACGGGAGGATTTTCATTTTTTTTCGGTCGTGTCTGCACGATCTTTCTCTAACCGACACGTTTACTTAGGCGTTTCGATCACTCACTCACCACCCGGTCGCTTGTGTTGTCGACAGAGGAAGGGAATTCTAAGAAATAAAAACGATCGACCATCCAAATACCGCTGCAGTTTTTACCAGTCTACATAATTTTACATAGTAATTTCTGCTATTTCGTAGAGTAAAATGTAGGAGGCGCGAGAATGTAAATAAAAATTTTGAAACGTAAACGTAACGTATGCCTTCAAAAAAAAGCGTTCAAGACACTTAAATACCATTTTTTCGCGCGCGCATTTTGTAATGTTTCGTTGATACAAAATTACTATTTAAGTAGGGAAAAATAAATTTCACATCGCAAAAATTCAGTTGAAATTGATCAAATTTTAAAGTTTTTCTGGTATGGTTGTCCTGGATTACTATGTTCACATAGTAATTTTTCATTTTATATTCTTTCCGTGCACGTTCTCTTTCATCCCACGAAATTTCAGCCCCGAGTTTTGGCACCCTCTGTAGATTTTTGGAAATTATCAGAAAATAATATTTCAGGAGAAATACTCTTCCTTGCCTGGGGCATTCGCGTTTGCTATAATGTCCGCAACGCCGAGAGTCTGTTCAACGAGGCTCGACTGATCAGTTATGCTATTTACAATATCGCCGTTGTGAATACCACCATGATCGCTATCCAGTGAGTTTACTATTATTTATTATGAAAAATCCTGAAAAAATTGCAATTGAAGAGTTGTAAAAATTTCTATAGTCTCTTCATCTTCCCTCATGCGGGTCCAGACATGAAATACGCCCTTGGGTTTCTCCGAACACAGCTATCTACTTCAGTTACGATATTCCTCGTCTTTGGTCCCAAGGTAATTGCGTATATTTTCATATTAGAAATATGTTTTCCCAATTATGGATTTTCGTGGGCTTTCAATGGTTGAACGGAATGACTCCTATGAGATAATCATATTTCGAAGAATTAAATTGTGAAAATGAATAAAACTAATAATGATAAAAGGAAAGAGTTTTTCACAAGGAAAATCAGAAGGAGCATTGTGGGAAGTGCATTTTAATGGACGGTAGTAACTGTTAGATTATTTTGTTACGATTACGATCGATTTCATAGGCTATTTTTTTATGTTGACAAGCAGTAATTTCAAAGGTACGACTGGAAACTGGCTTTCATAATAAAGGTTGATATTTTTCACATCACAAAAGACGCGGAAAAAGGACAGTGAATTTAAAAATGAGAAAAATTTAGATATGTCTGATACCTGTATTTTATTACAACTATATTTTCGAATTGAATGCGAAATTATCGAACATGGCAAGTTCATTTTTTTGTCAATAATATTAGCTTTATTTTGCGTACATCAATTACTAGATTGGTAAGACGAACAAGTCATACTATCCAAGTGAAAAAGTTAAGCCTCTCTGTTTCAACTGAAGTTCAATGAGAGAAATACGTGAAATATTGCAGTGATAATGATCCTGACGATCTTGAAAAACCCGTTGCTTATGGTTGAAAATTCCTTTCAAAGCGGGACATAATGCAGGAATCATCACATTATTGTTTTCGTTTTACCGAAATATTTTTTTGACTCACAAGCTAGAGCAATTCAAACAGCGAGACCTAGAATCCACAATTACACCAAAAGGGTAGTATTTCTTAAATACCGAACCCAGGCAGAATTGATCTTGTCACCAATTGGGGACCAAATTGTTTTAAGAAAGAAAATAGTCCCTATGATATTTCCAAAGGTATTAAGAGTCCTTCGAGGCCAAGGGGATCAATGGGACAGTCGTGCTCGTGCCCGAGGCATCACAGCAAGTTTCTCCCTCAACGGAATTCGGGGTTTAGTAGCTGAAGAAACAACGGACCTTTACCAGGAGAATGAAGAACTTAAAGAGGAAATTCAAAAGTTGGCGGCACAAATTGAGTTTATGAAAATTGTGCATATGGAGATGCACAACCGTCATATAAAGCCCAAGTTAGGAGGGTATTTCAGTACCCATGGGCACGGCTGGGGTGCTCAGAGCCCCAATGCGAAAACTACATCAGCCAGTTTTATCATCAAGGTTTGTAATAATAATTCCCAGAACCAATTGCGACGACAATGCGTAGTAGCATTGTTTCTATAATTTTATACTGGGATTATGAGAATTCATTGTTAGACGGTGGTGGAGAGAGGCGCAAGTGAGGCAGCTGCTGCGGCGGTAGACGACTCAACATTTCCCTCCGGAAGTCTACATCGTGCAAGGAGAATGGAACTCTTGAGGGAAAGAAAGGCTGTAAGGGAAAAAGAGAGGGCTAATGCTGCTGCTACTGCTGCTGCTGCTGCGAGTAAAAGTGATGGGAGCCATGGGGAGAAGGAGGGTGAGCAAGTGTGACGAGGGGTTCTAAACGCAGAAGTGAGTACTAATATGATGGAAATGTGATTTTACATCAATTAAGGGGTCACCTCGATGAAATCAGTAGCGAAGTGGTAAAACAGTTTAAGTCGACTTATCTCTCAGTTCAGTTCTTGAGGAATATTTCGGAATCTAAGGGAGATAGCGAAATTTTCGTAATTACATTTGTTACAGCTCTCAATCGGCTCTACAAAAAAGGTTATAACAAAAATTTTGCTATCTCCTTTAGATTCCGAGATATTCATTGAAAACGGGTCAATAGTCAAAATTGACTTGTACCGCTTTAGCACTTCGCTACTGAAATTTAAAAGTCTTCACTGGGTTTTGGGACCCATTGAACAGTTTGTGATATATAACGGAAGATGGGAATAACTAGGGAAAATCGCGGACCCGATCGATTTTGCCCCCTATAACCACAAAAGACTTCATTTTTCGCTGTTATTACCTTCAAAATGCTCTTTGCGCCGTAATTTTCATACCATTTTAGTTTATTTTTTTTTAATGTTCGTTACACTCCGAAGAATAAAGTTAAGCATCCGTTTTACTTTATTCGCAATAGATCATGAATAAATAAATTTTGAATTTCGTAAATTTTTAGCGTCTCTCGAGCAAGACTAACAATTCATTGTTTTTAGTAATTGGACATTGTAATCCTGCGTAATCTAATTTTTATGAACAAAAAAATGGCAGGTTGAAGTGAAAAGGCGGGTTCAAAAGAAAATTTATGAAATTCACAATTCATTTATTCCTGATCTATTGCGAATAAAGTAAAACGGATGCTTAACTTTATTGTTTGGCGGGTAATGAACATTTAAAAAAAAGCTAAAATCGTATGAAAACTACGGCGCAAGTAAAGCTTTTCGTGGTTTTACAGGGCAAAATCGATCGGGTCCGCGATTTTCCCTAGTTATTCCCATATTTCGTCGTATATCACAAACTGTTCAATGAGTCCCAAGACCCAGTGAAGACTTAAATTTCACCAACGTATCCTCTTAAGCTGCTCGCAGGTTTCCAATTAGTTGAGGGATTTTTATAATCATTCAGCTAACAAATTCAGATATGACGAAAATGGTCAATTTTTTAGGTATGGCTGTAGAGAAAATGCAATGAAAATGTGTTTAAAAGTGTTATCTGTTGTTCCTGTGCCGCCTCGATAATTTGGTGATGCTATCTTCGCACAAAAATCAATACATTGAACATGTTTCTTCATCAAAGGGAAAGGAAATATCGAATACATAAATCATGAGAAAATCCAATCAGAGATACGCTATTATTTACACAATAATTGGAGAATCGCTAATAAGGGATGTTAAATAGAGTGTAGTGTATTGGCGCACTAGTTGGAAAATTTCATTTTTCACGAATGTGAGGTTTACTGTGATCAATTTCGTTGAAAGTGACATTTACTACCGTGTGCGTTTTATTATTTTGCGTTGCTACGTCGGGACGTCGAATGCAACGGACACAAAGAGTGAGTTATATTCAGCTTCCCGCAGGCAATGACGAAAACAAAAACATTGCAAATTGCCTTATTGGAAAGTGGAGAGTATCCAAGAGGGGCCTGGTTGTCCCCCTTCAAATTCATTTAAACGTTGATCGTGAGAATATCGCTGACCTCACTTTAAATAGTATATTTCGTAACGAGTGCAAAAAAGTGTTTTTTGGCGAGTGATATAATCCCACGAGCTAAAAAACATTTTTTCACGAGTTACGAACAATATTTTTCATCACAATGTGGCGGAAATTGGACTTTTAGGCACGCGGAGCGTGCCGAAATGTTCACTTTTCGTCACAGCGTGATGAAAAACATTTTTTCACGAGTTACGAACAATATTTTTCATCACAATGTGGCGGAAATTGGACTTTTAGGCACGCGGAGCGTGCCGAAATGTTCACTTTTCGTCACAGCGTGATGAAAATGTATATTTCGCAATTCCATAGTGAAGTGTTGCAAGGAGACGATACCAAAATGAATGTTGAATTATTTTTTAAATGTCTCGAAAACTGGGGGATTTAGAGTAAAAAATGGCAAGATCTTTTAATGAAAAATTTGAAGATGTTTATCCGAAACCGCAAGCACTTCGAAAATTTTTAATTTTTTTTCTCCTGATAGAAAGGGAATTATCACTTACATTTTTATAATTTGAATCCACTAACCATGAGAAAATTTGACCTTCGGAGAAAGGATAAACATCTTTAATGATCTACAATCACAACCAAAGTTTCTTTCCTAAAACCATTAGTTTCAATATATTGGCAGAACAAACCCTCCTTTCACTTCACTACGGAATCCATGTCAATCATTAATAAACGGTACAAAAGAGAAGTATGACAAATTATTGCGAACATCTGTCAATTTTTCTGACGCGTACTACAATCCAAAGTACAATTTCAATGTTAATATTGCGAAATATGAAAAAAATATTTTGCTGGTATTTAAGGAAGAAAAAAAAAACAAATCAAAGAGATAAAATCAACTATTATATGTCTCACGTGTTTTATCGTTAGAAACAATACATGTGATTAATGTACGTACGTGTGAAGTCCTTTGTAATTACAAAGCCATGATGTTAAAAGAATGACAAAGAATAACAACTATTATGGAATTGAAGTTTATTTACTTTGACCAATCAGAAATTGTTGAAGTAAATGAATTAATCAAAAAAAGTTACCCGCGACAGCGCAATTGTTTAGCTAATTTAGGCTCTTATTAAGAATTGTTGTGATAATTGGTTATCTACTTGCACTTTAATGACAATAAAAATCATTAAGAACAGTTCTTTATTTTCAATGGATTATTAATCAAAACAATATCAATCAAACTCCTCAAGCATGAATACAAAACAAAATATTGCTGTTGAATGAGGATATTTATCATGTTCATTCAATGACTCGTGAAGAAACTGATAATTACCTATCTCTTCTTGATCGCCGAAGATCGTGATCTCGTGTTTTCTTGAATGGAAGTTTTGCAAGTCCTTGACTCTTGACTGACAAGGCGCCATGGAAAGATGATTTCGTTCAATAATCAATTTGATTTTTTTAATAATTTATTAAAGGTGCAATTTGATTGGAATTTTAAATTAAAAACAGATGGGAAATAAAATTGATGATCCCTCTGACGCAAATGAATTCCTCCACCCCGTAATTCAATACAATTCAGTTGATTCTCACTCATCAGTTGTAATAAATTGATTGTTATAAGTATTTGACAAACTGTTGAAACACTGAACAATCGATTGTTGTGTTTTGATGGCCTCGAGGCTTGGTGCCATCAGTGTCTTGTCAAGAAAGCTAGAATGCTCTAGTAATAATGGAAGTGCATCGATGTAATATCCTTCGTACATTTTTCCAACCGCCGCAATTCTTTTCTTCGTTGATTTTTCCAGTTGAGAGCATAATTTCCTGATATCAAATTTCTGAGAGCATTTAATACACCTCAAGCGGAGAGAATCCAATGAATTTCCGCACGAGGTACATCGAAAGGTAATTTCATCAGGAAACGGAAACTTCCAGTCGGATTTGCATGGTTCGCACGTGCAAATAAAGTGGTATTTCTCCACCAAATACTGTTGACGGAGTTGCAATGAGTCGGTAATGAAGTGGGGGCCATAGCAATCTAGTAACTCGGAACCTTTTTCAATGAATCGCAAGGATCGAACAACAACTTTTCCTGTAAAGATGAACAAAATATACTATTATCATGTTTTTAAGAAAATATAAAGAAACTTTGATTTGAACCGAAAAATTTCTTGAGCCGAAAAAATCTCTTGCTGGTTGTAATCAATTAGGCAATTTAGCAATTGACTAGATAAATTTTGAAGCTAATTAGTACACTGAAAAATTACACTCAGTAGCTAATGGACTTGCTATATAATGTCAAAAGACTAGTTTTATAACTTATCAAAATTCGAATGAAAACAGTGTTAAAGGTGCGAATTTAGTTGAGTCACTCTAGTGCAAAGATAGTTATGAAATAATGGATGAGAAATATTTTGTCTGCTGAGTTGATATGATTTCTATTGAAATTGTTCGAATTTAATAATTTTTACCTCCAGGATATGAATGCCTAACCACATTCGGATAGCAACTGTGATTGACAAGACTGACAGAGCTATAAATAGCGCCCCCCACATTACGTGGTTCCCATGTCCTCGTATTTCTGTCCCTAAAATTCTCGACAATCTCGTAAGCATTACAATTGACTGCTTGCATATGTCTCATCATAGCCACTGCCAGCAACACAATTTCCCTCTGTCCAATCGTGTCTCTATTCTTCTCATCAACCTCCATCAATACAAAAGCCAAGCATTTAGCCAGGTATACTGACTTTATAGAGCGTGACAGATTGACCTTTGCATCTGCTTTTTCACAATGCGTCTCTAAGGAAAAGATTGTTCTATAATCCAGGGGATCATAAAAGTCACTCTTTATGTCAATCGCTAGGGACTTCTTCGCGTCCTCACATTTAGCGTCTTGATAACACAAAAATTCAGCATCAAGTAAACTTGAGTTCTTGGTAATTGCCTTTGCTATTGTTGTTCTATAGGCGAGTAACACGTGAGATTTTTGGTCGCAAGTCGTTGATCTTTCCAAAAAATTATCAAAAATCATGCATTCGTATTTGTGGTAACTACTCCAGGCATTTTTTCGGCATTCCTCGGAGCAGAACGAAACCTATCAAGCCAAACCATGCTTTAAACTATTTTAAAAATCACTGCAAAAAAGTATATAATTGTAAAAAATTGATGTAACCTATTGATATTTGTGCTAATGAATTAGTAGCCTGCTTCCAATGACTGTGATTCCGTTGGTATTATTCAAACATCAAAATATATGAGGTATTCAATGTCAAACCAGTCATACTTTGTGAATGGGGATTTTTCATATGGTTGCGAGAGTCAAAAAACTATTTCAAAAAACTACATATCAGAGATACGTTTATTTTGTGTTATTCCGTCTCTTTTCATATAATTCGCGTTCTAATCAACCGATTACACTTTACAACATAAAAATATTCCACTTTCAGCAACCTTCAAGAATTTGTAGGGTAAATTTTGCTTCAACCCCTAAATGCTCGCAATGACTATTTTCCAAAGAAAAAAAATTGTTATGCCACGCCGTGCAATAAGTCGAGTTTATCGCTTCAAAGTGCACTTCTCCACGGTGTGACATAAAGGAATTTCACCGACGCGGCGCCGTGGATGCGAGTAACGAAGGGTTAACATTGATTTTGAAATAGAATTCGTCCATCCAAAAACCGTAATATCTCGGCACCTAGATGTGACAAAGCCGGCCCTATTCATACACAGGTACAACCATGTGAACAAAGGGAAACTCCACACGATAACATCATTTCAAGAATATGAAGACTTTGTTAAAAAAATTATAGGTTTAATAACTATGTGCGACCAATTTCTGAAAATTTAACTGAAGGTTCAATGATATACGTGCTACAACATATAATTTTCTCAGAATTCCACAACAATGTTAAAATTTCTATTTTTGTAATCAAAAGGAATTGTTTATAAAAAAATCGGTAGAATTTCACTTTTTGTCATCGGCTTTTTTTGTTTATAACAAACCATGCTTTTCCGATAAAAAAGTATTTCAGCGTTTTTCTATTTAAAAAACGATGATTAAGTGAATACTTTTCGAGTTGTAAATCATAAAAAAAAATTCTTTCGGATTGTCAATATTTTGAAACACCATAACTTAAAAAAAATTAATCATCGGAGCATTGCTTGTCTGGGAGCCTTCTGCGATATATCAGAAAACCAGAAGGAAATTAAAAGGTGAAAGCTTTTTTACTGAAACAACGTGGAATGTCTCATATGCAATGATTATTTTTTCATAGCAACATATCCCAAAAACTATTCCACGGATTATATCTCCCTATTTAAGTAAGATTTAAATTTGAATATGAATAGAGATATTGTAAAATGAGGGATCCATTCCTCTTAGATTCAAAGATATTCATTAAACACTCAGCTTAAAAACTAGACCCATCTCGTTTTACGATTTTGAAACAGAGATTATTTTAACTGATCCCAACATAAAATTGTGTAATCGAAAATATGAACGGCTGAAATGTTTTCATTCGGAAGCAAAAGCAAAATGGAAAGTGAAGTAGAGATGTATTTTTACTTACAGTCTGACAGTTTCCACAAGGAACTCTGATGTTCCGATTCCCCTGAAGGGACGAGTGACAGTGAAGACAATTGGTCGAGAGTGCAGCTTCGTCTGTGCTAAAGGAAAAAGGCTCATCAACAATCAGAACACTACCTGCTTTGATGTTCCGCGTTGCGATCAAGTGTCTGCCTCTAGCATCTTCGTGAATTAATGCAACTGCATCACTGCAGGTCTTAAGTTTTTTGCTGGGTTTCCCATCGACTTTGGGTAGTTTCTTTTCATATGTATGAGGAGATTGCTTACTAGATTTTTTTGACAGTTTCAAACATTGGGATTTCAATAAATCACACATCGTCTTCATCTTCTCTGTTTCAAATTCGTTCTGGAGTTTTGAGCTTTGTGAGTTGTTAAGCAATTTCATTGCATAATCACAATCTCTACAGCATTGCTGATAAGATCGTATACTGAATTCGTATTTAGCCCTCGCTACAATGATCTTTATCGTGAGGAGAGTGTCAGATTCAGCAGCAAAGAGTGCTTTTGTCAATAGATCAATTTTGCATAAATTTGAAATCTTTCTTGCAGCTTCATCAGTAGAATTGACGTCATTGTATAGTTTCTCAGCTTCTTCGTTGTTCTTTGGAGTGAAGAGCGCACTGACATCCGTATTTGAAACTTGGTCTAGCTGCAATATCATCTCTATCATACCTTGTCTGTCTCCCGCTTTAGAATGCCTCTCAAATTCTCGCATGAATAATTCTGTGTTTGCGGCGTTATAGATGGAACTGTGAAATTGTCCTAGTGAATTCCTGCCGTGGAATTGAAGAATCGTTAAATTATTGTACCGAATACATTCGGTTCGAATAATCTGTTCACATTAAATTAATGTATTCAAATGAATTAAAAATCAACCTTTCATTTTTTTCCATCACGAATATCTGGAGGAACTCAAGGTGGTTTACGATGTAGCTTCTGGCACGCACAGAACGTTTGTGACGGAAAACAGTGCCTAAAATTAGCTGTCGAAGTTTCCATCGTGTTCAGAGTGTCGTTCCTGGTTGGTAACACGTGTTAAGACACGAGAAGAATCTTCAATAGAAACACAATGGAGTGAAATAAATTGTTTTCTCTGTCACTTTCCATCCTTTACTACGATTACATCTATTAAAAGCACTAGATTGAGGCATTTTATTTGAAACCATTATTACCTCGGATAATATAAAAATGGAGAGGATTTGGCGTCTTGTTCGGTGGTGTCTATAAATATTCGTGGCGTCAACGGCGATTATTTCGAAATTAATATCAATATATGCGGGTGGATTCGGGTGTATAGGTATTCCTGCTCCAATAATCAGCTGATCGCTGGTTCAAAACAGCTGCCGAAAACAAGAGGTCTGAGTCTGAACTCAGTGGGTCAGGCAGACCCACCAGCAGGTGCTGGTGATTCCTTACTGTACTAGGCGACTCGTTCGACTGGCAAAACAGAGAGTTTTCTCCAGTAGTATTGATCCAAGTGGATAAAACAAATTTGACAACTGGAAGGAATTTGTATCTAGTTTCAAGTTAATACTCGCGTATCAATTAACCTCTGAGTGAATTTCATTGCACCAGAGTTCATTTTGTTGATTTGTCAACGAAATTCTTGTTAAGCACTGTAGGAAATTCTCTTTGCCTTTGCAAAAATCAGGGTCATTTGAAGAAAAATTGAAGTGAAAAGCCCGATAATGCCTCAGCCAGAAACATCCTCACGAGAAGTTCAATGTCAATGGCGTTAGGAGAAACTGGAGTAATTCATTTTCGGAGAAACTCCGAGATCAATGTCAGGGGTATATACTATTTCGTTGATGAATTGTGATTTTGGAAGAGTCTTTACGTTTTATGGGGCTCTTTTAAGAGCTACACTGGCAGTTTTCTTCACTAATAAATGAATCGTAAATCAGTCAAGGAGAGATAGACCTTGAGTGACGAATTAACAGGCGTGTGATAATGTAAAGGATTTTTAGTGATGATTTAATGGTTTCATGGATCAATTTGTGATGAAAGAATTCCCGTGTGATCATGTTTGGTTAAATTAGAGGGATCGAGGAATTGAGTTGTGGCTATTTTGGGAGAAATAACGTGGTATTTGGAATCGGCAGCATAAATAGTAGGAAAAATGGTGGAGAAACAAACATTGGCTAAGACTGTTCGTCTTCTGAAAACTCCAGCAGTGGTAATGTTTGGGAATCCGCTATTGGATATTGTTGTGACTCTTGAGGATGAGAGTATCTTGGAAAAGTATCAACTACCAGTGGATGGAGAAGTTGAACTTGAAGAGGACAAGATTCAAGAGATTCTAGCTGATTTGACAGAGTAATGTACATTTTTTATCTCATCTATACGTCTCTGAAATAGTAATTCTATGAGCTGAGACATTTCAAACATTTTATTTTGAAAATAAATTCAGATCTAGTAGTATTCCGAGAAAAAAGTCGAAACAGTATTTCCTTTGTTCAAAAAAACTCGTGAAACGGTTTAAATTGAAATATGCAAGTTTTGCATATTTCAATGGAAATATGTGATTGTGGCAATATATAACAACACTCTAGAATCCCTTACAAAAACACAGATTTACTTATATTCTTACGAACGACAAGATAACCGGAAGGTTTTATTGACGGAAGTTCAATTTGACAAGTGTTGAATTAACCAAAAGTTCACTTTCGGAATGTTGATTTAATCAGATTTTTTGATGAAGTTTTTTTAGACCTGCTCCAAACCGTTTTACTTCCTAACTACTGACATTTTTTTCTAGTGAATTTCTTTGAATCTACTCGTATTATGTACATATTCATAAAATGTAATGTTTAATACTTTAAAAAAGTATGATTATTTTAATGGAAAAATGAAATTTTTTAGATGTGAACAGAGAATTAGTCCAGGGGGCTGTGCTCAGAACACTGCTAGAATTCTTCAATGGCTCTGTGGAGGTAAAAGTGTCTCACCTGTCGTTGTTTATTGTGGAGGATTGGGAAAGGATTGTAGAGGTTCAACTCTAGAAAAGTTAGTCAAAGCAGATGGAATACAGACCAAGTAAGTGCCAAAATAAACAGATAAAGTGTCGAAATTTAATCATATTGAATAAATTCAATGATAAGATTTTAAACGTACTCAGAGGAAAAAGGTGTTTAGTTTCCAAATCTCTGAATTTAAGAACTTTGTCGTACTACTAAAATCAAGCGAACAAAAAATTCTAGGAATAAGCGTACATTTCACATATTTTGAGAAAATTGCCTCTAAAGATCAGTGAAGAAAGGTTCAATTCTCAGCAATTTTTAATTAAGTCTACTATAATTGTACGCATTTTCAGGCACATGCATCGTATGTTTATATTGGTTCTGGAATTTAAAACTTATGGATTTTTAAAATAAGAACCTTACGGTTCTTGAACATACGGGTTTTCAAGAACATTCTCGATCATGTCTTGAATCTATTCATATTCATGAATCATTAGTGGCTAGAAGTATATCACCTGATACTATAACTCAACAAATGTCGAACTGATCTCGAATTATTCACGAATTTTGTGGCTTCCGAATGTTCTTGGATTAAAGATGAAACCAGGTCCTTAATTAACGAATTTTTGTCACCTAAAATACGTCGATTTTTGGTACTGAATTATTGCGATATTTCTGGAGAAATTAAATAATCAGTTTCTTTTAGTACATGCAATGCCTTCTAGAGCCATGAATTTCTTAAAATCAGTAACTTGGTTCTAGAAATTAAAAAATTTGATTTCTGTGTAGTTGCAAGATTATTTTACAAATACCTGAGAAAAATGGAATCCGGAGATATTTTTTGGCAAACCTTTTTTTTTCTTGAGAAAATTATGAGCTACGGAAAAATCTCCTGTTATTTTTCAAAAATCATACTAGAGTCATGAACATTCTACATCAATTGTTATGTATTGACTGACAATGAGAAAGACCGGCATGGCTGGTAGACGTGGCTTACTTCCAGAGTACTCTCTTGGGTAATATAAAAACATGAACTTTGATCTCCTTATACCACTTCGTTATTCAACTCTCATTTCACGATTAAGAAATTCAAGTCATAAATTTATTGCTCCAGATATGCAGTGCATCCTACCCTGCCCACGGGCATATGTATTTCCCTGATATGTGGCCAGTCACGCTGTCTAATCGCCAACCTAGGGGCTGCCGCTGTGTACACACCGCTAGATTTAAAGCGGAGTAATTTACCTCTCGATGGACTGAAGATAGTCTACATCGAGGGATTTTTCCTTACGCACAGTTTAAATGTTGCCAAAGAAATTGTCGTACTTACCCAAGAGAAATGTAAAAATGTTGTTGTGGCGTTCAATCTTAGTGGAGAGTATATATTCGAAGTAAGTCAACATGAATTATTTATTATTTCGAACGATCGAACTTCACGTACTTCGAATTGGTGTCCACATGTAGCTAATCATGAACTCCCTCATATGTGAGACCCCTCTATACGAAACCTACTGATATATCCCTTATACCGGGTGTCCCATTTGAAACAGTACGGCTCAATATCTCTTGTAAGAAGGGAGGAACAGCAAAATTGTTCAAATACAAGTTATAGGGTTCGGAGGGGGAAACTTAGTGCTGATGGAATCCAGGCCCCCATTGCTTATGTTTCTATGCTATGAGCATAAAGTTAGTTTTTTTAAATGACAACAATATTTTTCACCCCTACAAAAGTTGTTCATCTCGCCGAGAAACAACTGGTTTCCCATTCCATATTTTTCGATGACGTCATCGTTTTCGTGTGAATAATCATACGAAAATCAAATTAACGAAAAATGGAGTTGGAAATAGAATTTCCTTTGTTTCAAAGTTGGATTTCAAAGTTTCGGAGTTGGAAATAGAATTTCCTTTGTTTCAATCATTTTTATAAAAACAATTCTACACTTGAACTCATTGTTCAATATTTGGAGTTTTTCCACCGGAAACTTTGGTGATTTCAAAATTATATTGTTGTTTCACTTCTAGGAACATCATGCAGCCATTTGTCAGATGGTTGGCCTGGCCAAAATCGTGTTCGGAAATGCGAGAGAAATGAAAGCTCTAGCTAAAGCCCTCAGTCTTCAGTTCGAAAATGTCACGGACATTCCTTTCTTATTGAACAGCTCCAAACGCGTAACTGTCAGTGTGGCCAGTGCAAATATTGAAGAAGACTGGCTAACAGACAATGATATATTTGTGATGACGCAGGGCGGATCGGCGCCTGCAATTGTCGTCTGGGGTGACGGTCGTTCGGCACAGGTAATAATTTATTTGTAACTTAATCCAAACCGCTGAAGTAGTAGGATAAGATAGGTCGATCACATCAAGATGAAAATTTAGAGCAATCTTTGAAACTCAACAGCAACTGCAAAATTTTCTTGAGAAACCATTTTTGTGCACTCATTGGGGTTTTCTTTAACAAAAATTTATTCTGAAGATCAGTTCACTTATCTCACTTTACACACTTCACTACTGGAATAGATTTTATCGCGTAGCATGCTATCAGCCCACGTTGTGCAATAACGAGCTATTCCATGTCAAACCGGTAACTCTTTGACCCTGATGCTCTCAAAAGTGAACGATAATTTCTTGCAACGTTGAAGAGTTTGAACAAATATCTTCTGTCTGTTGAAAAACATTTTCTATAGCCCCTATCTAATTGTAAGATATGAATTTTTCCGTGTTTTCTCGTTTTTCTTCACATAATTCGCGTTCTAATCAACCGATCCGACATATCACCCTCCCCCACGTGCAGGATTGCCTTCCGAGCCGAAGGCGAGCTGTTTTCCAAGGCTCGAGCATGTAATGTACAATTTCGGTACGAGGTGACCGTAGCCGTAATATCAAAAATGTAATTTATACATTTGTTGCGTTATACACTATTTCCCCAATAATCAAAAAATAAAAATCATTAGTTCATTGGCTCTTGTACTCAGGTTCACCCAAAAAAACCAAAGGAACCGATAGTCGACACAACAGGAGCTGGAGATGCGATAGTTGCAGGATTTTTAGCAGGCGTTTTAGCCAAGTGGGATCCAAAGTCATGCCTCGAGTGCGGCTGCAGGACAGCTGCCAAGATAATTACGAAATTAGGGGTAAATGTACCTTCCAACGAACCTGCTGGTAATTTAAATTGATTGGCAAACTTATGGAATTTTACGATCGCCCTGTTTTGGTGGGTTTTGGTTTCTTCCTGGAGAAAGTAGTCATGATTTTTGACTTTCTACTGAGTACAAATAAAATATTTATTTAATGTTAATAGAGCTATTCTCTCATTATTCCTTAATTCGTCTATCAACTTTATCACTGGTTCGATAATTGTCACCGCAACTGACTTCCCGTCACAGACATACCGTAATCCCTACGACATCGAATATTCTAACATGAAACGTTCTCCAAAACAGAATTCTGGAATCGTTCAACTAGGAATATTTTCACGGGGTGTAGGTACGGGGAGGTATTCCTTGTTGATATTTAAATGTTAGAAAGTTATTCCATGCTGGAGAGTGACCAGTATACTTACCTACTACGCATTTCCTGGCTAGGACTGCCAACTTGATGGACTTCCAGCCGATGTACTGTCCTCCAAATGCAAAAATCAACACTTTTACACAAGAAAATTCACTTTTTGCCAATGTTCGTCTGCTATATGCACTCTTCCTCAGGTTGAGCCTCAGCTTTGAGCCAGGGGAGCGCTACACACGTCACAAACAACTTTAAAACAACTGTTTTCCTCTCACTTCTGTAATTAACTTAAAGTACTGTAATTCACTTAAAGTACAGAATGAACTGTCTCCTGTCCTTCAATTGGATACAAGTCGATCCTCACATAAATATCACTAGCGCCAAATGTATATTTATGTCGTTGGGCCCGAGAAAACCGCGATCTAACCGAGCGACGCGAGTAAAATACTGTATGCCACACGGCGATAAAAGCATTATCTGGCGAATGTGGATTATAATCCGAGCCGAAGGCGACTGGTGACATAATATACTATTCTCAGCAAGTCTATTAAAAGTATAATGAGACACTCACTAATTCTTTTACCTTGATTTAATTATATTCTTACATTTATTTTCCTTTCGAAAACACTACGACACTGATCATACCACAGCAACGGCCATTTTGACTTGAATCAGCTGTGTAGTGAGTCGCCGATTGAATATGAATGCTATAAGGTGATACACATCAACGGAGTATAGATCACAACGGCCAATCTGAATGCTCCTGGGTGATTCACCGTGGTAAAGGACCAAACCAAAGTGAATTACTCGGTCGTTGCGAATGCTATCGTGCAAAGTTTACCGAAACGTTTCATACCTTGTCATTCCGAACACATCCAAGGCTGTTTAGAGGAATTTAATGAAGAAATGAGACTATTTTTCTTTCCGCGTGGAGCCAAGGTGATTTTAGGTGCTGCATTATTTTTTTCGTTTTATTTTCGTATCGTACATCCTTGAGAAATGGACTTTTGTGAAAGCTCTATTCTTCCTTATTGCCTCAATAAAATTGAATAACGAACTGTAAAAACGCGCCGGAGAAGGGGGGGGGGTCTATGAAGTTAGGGGATTCCCTGAAAAATCAGCCTTGCCACAAAGGAAATTCATAGTCGTTTACCTTCCCGTTTTCCCTATTTTTTTTATTAACGAAATGTATAACGATTAGAAAAAAGTATAGAACAATCGAGATATCAATAATCTTTTGTTTGATTTTTTTCTAAAACCATGTAATAACTTTTTAACAATCGATGAAACCTATCTTGATAGACTAACCGGTATTCTTAATTGTACTATCAATTTGAGGCCACGAAACAGAATTATTCATGCTATTTCATCACTTATTCGCGATACTGAATAATACTAATAAATTCCGTGATACTAATTGTTAATACGGAATTTATTGGTCGATAAACACTGAAATCTGTTACACGCTGATGGTCGCAAATTTTTTGACTTATTCTCCTGTATCTGCTGGGGATGATGTTTACATCTGGTAATATAGCAATTCGGAATTCCTCTATTATCGGCTGCAGGTTCCCTAATGTCATACAACCACTGTTCGAAAGAGGGCCAAACCTGAAGAGATTTACACCGCTGTCCGGTCTCCGGACTCCGGTGTTTTTCATAATAATAGTTGCTGAGGTTAACCGAGTGAGCTTCACTTTGTAAAGAAATGAATAAAATACTGACTTCATCAATTAAAAAAGTGTCCAAAAAAATCCAATCGAAAGAATTGAAACCGTCAGATCTTCACAGAGCATCATGCAAGTTAATCTCTTCAACAAAACCCCTCAACGCCTACATTCATACCACAGAAGACATCGGAAAACAACAGACAGAAGCTTCAGATACTCGACAATGCGAAGACAAGTTATTAGGAAATCTCGATGGAATTCCAATAGCAATAAAGGATAATTTTTGTGTTGAGGGTGTGCCCACGACTTGTGCTTCTCTGATGCTCGCCAATTTTGTCCCAGGGTATTCAGCCACAGTTTATGAAAGGTTAAAGAGTAATGGGGTTGTACTTATGGGGAAAACAAATCTTGATCAGTTTGCAATGGGTGCAGGAACTGTTGACTCTCACTTCGGTTTCACAAGGAATGTTTGGGGCTCAGAGATCATGAAAAATTACACGTCCAACAGCCTAGCTAGTCCCGACATCAAGCAGAATAGTACAAATGATGATTGGTACATTGCAGGTGATTTTCATTATTTAAATAAAATGATAAAATGGACATAGTTACACGGATGAAAAGAAATAATAGGAAAACCTAGCGCATTCTCACTAAAAATTTCTATTAGTTTTTCTCCAATTCTGTTGAAAAGTTCTGTAATTTTCTATGTCTGTTTAATAGACATGTTTGTAAACATTCGATAGGCTTTAGAATTTTTGGACAAATTACTCTACTGAAATATATTTTTCTTTCTCTCATACGATGAAAAAACAATTATTTGTTCCAACTATTCATTTACTTGAGAGAAGCATTAATTTTTTTTAAATCGTATTTCTCCAATCGAATTGTTCCCATTTCATTGACCGAAAAATTCCAAAATGGTCAGTACGATCTTTTTTCATTTAGCACGCCATATACCATATCTTTTTTGTCATCTTTTGATCAAGATACCCGATAAAAGTAAGAAATTTCTGACTAAAAGATCATTTCATAATTGACAGAATGAGATAAGTTGACGCGAGGTTTCATCAACGCGATACATAGAGTGTCTCCAAATGAAAGTCTCGAGATTCTAACATTTTGAATACTGAAAGAAACATCTGTAATTCTAGGAGGAAGTAGTGGAGGTTCAGCAATAGCAGTAGCCACGGGCACCTGTTTCGCAGCCCTGGGTTCAGACACGGGTGGTTCCACTCGTAATCCCGCCTCCTACTGTGGTTTGATAGGCTTCAAACCCAGTTATGGCTTAGTATCTCGTCATGGACTCATTCCTCTGGTAAACTCCATGGATGTACCTGGGATTCTCACCAGGCACGTTGAAGACTGCATTGAAATACTAAACTGCATTGCAGGTCCTGATGTGAAGGACTCAACAACTGTTGATCAAGCCTTCAAACCCATAAATGTGTCCCCTCCTAATCTCAGAGGCCTGCGAATCGGTATTCCCAAGGAGTACTCCCCTCCAGAGCTTGACGAAGAAGTCTTAACCTGCTGGAAGAAAGTCACCAATTTATTAGAAGAAGCGGGGGCCACTATAGTATCAGTATCCCTCCCCCACACAGAACATTCAATTGTCTGTTACTCAGTCTTAAATCAGTGCGAGGTAGCCAGCAACATGGCGAGGTACGATGGTTTAGAATACGGTCTTAGACCTAATGAGATGTCATCTACCGAACAATTGTACGCTAAAGCACGAAGCATGGGCTTTAATGACGTCGTGAGGAGTCGAATCCTCACAGGAAACTACTTCTTACTCTCTGAGAATTATGACGACTATTTCGTAAAAGCCATGAAGCTTCGTAGATTAATCTCTGAAGATTTTGACAGAGTTTGGGAGGAGAATGTTGATGTTTTGTTGACCCCAACGACTTTGAGTGATGCCCCCAGTTTCAATGAGTTTACTAGGCAGGATAATCAGACCCAGTGCTCAATTCAAGACTACTGTACCCAACCAGCGAACATGGCGGGAATCCCAGCAATTAATTTGCCTATTACTGTATCCTCGAGGGGTCTACCGCTTTCTTTGCAGTTCATGACTTCTTTTTTTAACGACGAGAGGTTATTCGGGCTCGCCAAATGGATCGAAGATGCTGTGCAATTTCCGGGATTGCAGCTGATGAATTCAGAGTTGCTGGAATAATAATTTTTCTTTGTATATTTCTGAAGTGATGTGAGTCAGAGGAGGAAATTAGTTGAAAATTTCAATTCAAATTATGCGCCAAATACCTTCAGAAAACAATGGGTTTATAGTGAAGTATTAAGAAACCTATTTGATGTATTCCACGCCGAATGAGGCAAGTCGAAGTCATTTTGGAGTGCTTTAACCAAATTTGGGAAATTTCGAAAAGAAAAAATTAAAAATTAAATAGATCTAGAAGGATGCCCAACTTAAATTAGAATACTCAAAATACTTGTTTTGATTATAAGTATTACTGAAAACATTTTTTTCAGCCGTGACGTAATTCAAAAATTCAAGTTTTCTCGACAATTCGTTACTATGAGCCTCTAGAAATCGAAAAAAAAATAGTTACTAAGAATATTAGTATAGGCGGTAACAAATGGAAAATGTTGACGCTTAATCAATCAAAATCGGACAAATCGAACTCGAGTTATTGGAAAAAAACGGAAAAATGAAAAAAAAATCGTACCGCCGAGCTGGGCTGCCGAAAAAATCTGATAACATTTTTGAGTTTTTCAACCACCTTAATCGTAAAAAAAATTGCCATTAATTTACGAGAGGGTGATAATTACAAAGATATTTGCAAAGTAATCTGCACATCTGTCTTCAACTGATCTTCTTTGACTACTTATTCATTGTTTGGTTTGTAAATAAATTTTGTTGTTAGAGCTGAGGGGCTTCATCGATTTATTCGACAAAGGGAGATTGACGAAAAAACCTATTTGAGTTTCAGACGAGAAAGATGGAAGTGAAAGCTTCCCCTATTTCCCGACTGAATGAATGATGGTTGCCATGCTTGAAATACCAATCATGAATTGTTTACGTTAATCATTGTGGTTGCGTTGATGAGAGTGCGTTTATTAACTTTTCATCGTACATGTTGTGTGAATTATATTGGAATATATTCATTTCTTGTGGCAACTGGCGCACTCACTCTCATTAATTATTCGTAGAGCCCGATAGCTGGATGATCGCCTCCGAGTTTTGTCTGTCGGTTCGAGAATGGGGAATACACTGTTTCCACTATTGATGAAAAATTGAATTGAATTGAAATGGAGTGGGGGAGGAGGTATTGTTTGAATTTTTCCAAAAAGTGAGTGAATGTATTACGTTGTTTTACCTCTCGTGGTAGAACTAGAGATGTGAGTGGCAAGAATGACCGTTAATGACGACCGTCATGACCGGTAACACAGTCCTACAAAATTCCGACTTTTTCTGGCATAGCGATGCCCCCACAAAGATTTTTGCAAACTGATTTCAAATCCGTTGGCTAAATCTCATAAATTGACCTAGTTTCGGAAGAAAAAAATGTTAAAGTCCTCAAAATTGCCCAAAATCGCCTTTTTCAAAATTTAATTAAGAAATGACGCCTGTGTCTATTGAACTGAAAAAAAAACAATAAAAAGACCAGAAATTATAGTTCTAGATGGGGTAGGGTGGGTTTAATCAAAAGCAGGCAATTATTCGTAATAAATTCCGCATTTTTTCAGTGAAATTGCATTCGTTTTTTGGAAGAATCGTGGCATTTCAATCGCCAGATTTAAGAGTTAAAATGCTTCAGACGACTTTGCATGCTGGGAGAGAATATGTACCGAAATGAATTACATCTTTTGCATGACATATATAAAAAAGTCATAAAATATTTCTATTCAACAAATTCAGGGAATGAGATGTATGAGTGAAACGTATTTGAATTCAGAAAGATAGTATAAATTACCAGATGTCGTCGAGTGTCTTTATTTCAACCTCTTAAATCATCATTCTGATCGATTTATTCTCATTGCACCGCCATAAACTGTTGTGCCAAAGGTTTGACTGATTCTCGGCGAGAAAAAGGAGAATTATCTTTTCTTCGAGCGTTAGATTTGGTTCCATGCTGTTGGAGTCACTTTAATCAAGAAATGAAATGGACAAATAATAACTCTTGATCTAGCGGTTGAAATCCCACGTGGCCATGCAAATCCAGGCTATTGCCGCCATGACATTCTTTTGAAAAATAAATACAATTTTACTGAAAAAATATGGAATTTATTATGAATAATTTCCTGCTTTTAATTAAAACCACCCTACCCTATCTAGAACTATAATTGCTGATCGTTTCGTTTTTTTTTTTAGCTCAAAAGACACAGGCGTTATTTTTTAATTAAATTTTTAAAAAAGCAATTTTGGGCCATTTTGAGGGCTTTAAATTTTTTTCAGAAACTTGGTCATTTCATGACATTTGGTCGGTGGATTTGAAATCAGCGTGCAAAAATCTTTCTAGTGGTGGCAGTCTCATCCCTGTGCCAAAAAAGCCGGAATTTTGTAGGACTGTGTAATTACCGCGCCGAGAATCTGACCATAATGTCAGAAAAAGAAATGACGATTGTCCATAAGCATGAAATGACCCAATGAGTTTTGACTGTTAATTTCCATTCACGTAGATGACCCTCAATTTCCGAGTAGTATTCCAACCTCATTGTAAAATGTCCGGAAACTGAGTGTCAAATGGGGTTCATTTGAGCTCTGATGTTCGACTATAAGAATAGAAAAATATTTCACTGAAGAGAAAAATAGCTAAAGTCCCTGGATATCCTTAAGGATGATTAAATTCTTCAATGTGCAATGAGCATGTAAATTTCCATAAAGAATTGGATTTTGGATTCAAGAGTAGAAGTTCGAAGAAGAATTGAACCCTCTACTTTCTTGTAACTTTCTAAACATTTCTTCAATTTTGATACATGCCTTATTCTCCTGTGCATAAAACTCGCAGCTAACATTGGCCATAATTCTTGACTATCTTGCACCCTTCCTTGCATCAACTCTGAGATGTTGACATGTCTGATCACACTGTCGTTAAACTACTCAACCCCTTCCCCATCTACTAAGCCTTAACATCCATCTCATTATTCATCATTTCCCAGAATTCTCCTTCTCAAAAAATAACCCTCGTCAGCAGAAGACCTGAAACGCGTTCAATTCGAAACTCCTGTCTACACCTTCATCCCCTTTCGTTCTAGATCCAACAAATGCACTGAAACAATGAATTGAAGGTACCACTGCAAGTGGACCCGTCATTGCCTCCAGCTTCAGAAGACTGAAGCATTTCGTTCAACAAAAGGTAACAATCGTGATGAAATAGAAACATTTCGACGTTCGATTGTGAAAATACGCGTTTGTGTTTCATGAATGATGCAGAGCAATGGAAAATAGGGTTGGGCTGGCGGGTGGTTAAGCGCATGCGTGGGACCCAGCCCCCGGGGGCTGTGTCGTATCGTGCTCTCTCCACTTGGATCAGTCATCGGGTCGACGTCAAGGCCGGCGGATCTTCGCCCCTGGTATTTTCCTTTAGAAACTAACACCGTAGGTAAACATTCCTGTAGCTTTTTGTAGCACCGTGACAGTGGATGTGGTTTATTGTGCCCGCTTGGTGTCTCCATTTTTTCCTCGACGACAATAGCACTTGCGTGCCGTTAATGTGTATTTTGCCCTCAGACAATTTGCATCGAAGAAATTATCGGTCGGTCTCTTGAATAATCTCGTGTGTGAATTTGGTTCAAGTGGGGGAGTAAACATACAGCTGACTGTACGTTGATACTCATCACTTCGGTTTGGGAGGCTTTGCAGAGATTTTTCGAGGCTGTATCTTCCATAAGAATCTCAAGGTGCGTGGTACCAATATTATCAGTGGGTATTTTTAGACATTGTTGGAGGACGACTTAGCAGAGAATTCAATAGATTGACTTTCCAAATTAGGTCTTATTAATCATTGCAATGATTAATTAATTTACAGGAATATTTTGTCCTTTTTTGAGGACAATTGTCGCGTTAATTTCTCACTAACGGGATCATTGCATGATTATTAGTTGCATTTTTAAGCTTCATTTTTTCACTTAGAAGCTTCTAGGCAATAAATTGTAACCATCCTTTTTTCGTCATTTAAGCGATGCTACATCTGATTTAACACCCACTTATTCAACGCAGTTGAACAGTGCCATCATCACTCTTGCCATTGTTCTCGTTGTTTCCGTGTCTGCGAGTCACCAGAATTCCCAGCCTGGAATTGTTTCAATTCCTCCACAGTCAAAAATTCGGTGGTTATTTTGACACCAAATCTGTGTTCCAGAAAGTCCACACCGTTCTCGGTTCACACTGAATAGTGTTAAATGAACATTTTTTAATTTGTCACTGTCAATAGAATTGTCAATAACGCTTTCATTTTTAACGAAGGGCTCGGTTTTAATTTTATTCCAAAATTTGTTTGATTCTAATACCAAAATACTTCACGCTGCACACCATGAACTTGAGCACTTTGGATTTTTTACTGTGTTCTGAAGGGTTTTGTCCTTGAACTATATTGAGATGAATATCTTAGGGGTTGACATTCAGCTGATTGTAACAATGTTGATTTTGTGGTTGATGATAGAGTAATGATAGAGATTGTCTGTAGCTCGCAGTGGGGATGCTTGATAAAATCGTATTTGTATGGTAACATTGAGTCTCGGCGGGTGGAAGACGCGATAGCTTCGGGACACCATGGGGGGCATTGCATTTGTGTGGTTCAATTGCGTCACAAAGGAAATCTCCGGTTTTCGTTACAATGGAAATTGGAATCTTCGATGATTCAATAGACTATTTTATGCAGTAGTGCTGCATTCTAATAATAATCGTCGCATCAATTACTGTCAAAAATTGATTTTTAAGCAGATAATAAAAATGATTAAAGTGCAAATTTTCTATCTGAATTATCGATTTTATTGGTGATTTCTTTTATTGGTGATATCTTTTAGAATTGCGTGAATATCAATTATTTTTATTTCTCCGAATTATTGAAAATTCTATGATCGTAAGAGAAAAAATAAAAAAGTATTTTCATTCTTGAATGATCAATTGGAAATAACAATATTTCCATTCAATTATTGAATTTCAAAGCTATGAATCGTCATTAATTGCCACATCTAAAAAAAGTTTGTGTACTCCGGACATGAAAAGTGGAAATGACATGACATCTATTGATGCGTTTACGTGAGATTTAACCGAGAATGAATTGAAAATACAAGGCGACTGCTTCAATAGTATTTAGTTACACATTCATTTAAAAAAATGTAAAACAACATTGAAAAAGAACGGTTCCTTCAAAAATTATCATTATTAAATTTCTATAAAATAGCTATATTTGGCATTCAGGGACTTCCCTCAACAGGAGTTTCTACAACGAAATTATGGTTTTATTTAAACGAAAGAGTGCACTCAAGTGTAGGACTCAAATAAACACTACAAAGGCCATATAAAAGGCTCATACGAAGAGGGTGTTGATGCAATGGGACTCAAAGGGATGCATTAAATTACGTTTCCCAGTGATGTTATCAAGCCCGTTATTCTTCGGAAAAAGGGAAAAGTATGAGCGTCCCTCTATACTTATGCAGCGGAGTGAGGATTTATCCAGGACCCGTCTGTACTTGCCGAATAGCATTACAATCTCACCAAGCCGATTGCGTAATTCCCAGCGGTGCCTCGTTTCCATCCCTCCACCATCCCGAGAAAATACGATCGATGCAAGGCCTTCACGGCTTGCTACCTCGAATCAACATTTTTTTTATTGGATACCCGTTGAACTTGCTAAAAAAATGATCAAATTTTTTTTATCTGAAAAATAAGTAGGGGAGACCGGGGCGAATTAGACTCCGGGGCAAATGGACAGCAGGACAAAATGAGGCCCCTTTGTTTTTTTGTTTTTCAATGAGGCAAATAAGTCCAGTGTTTTTTTCGATGTAACGTCGTTTAACAGATCACATAAGTAGGAATAGTTATTTATGTCATTAGGCCCGATAAACCGCGATTCTAACCTCGCTTTACTCGGTTAGATCGCGGTTTTCGGGCCCAACGACATAAAATACAATATGTCATACGGCGATGAAAGCATTATCTGGCGAATGTGATTATAATCCTCGCCTTCGGCTCGGATTATAAAGCCACATTCGCCAGATGATACTTTTTCATCACGCTGTGACGAAAAGTGAACTTTTCGGTACGCTCCGCGTGCCTAAAAGTCCAATTTCCGCGACATTGTGATGAAAAATATTGTTCGTAACTCGTGAAAAAATGTTTTTTGCACTCGTTACGAAATATACTATTATCGCCTGATGACATAATCTACCATTCTATCACAAGGTCCACAAAGTATTTTCTGACGAATGTGGCTTCGAGCCGAAGGCGAGGCCTATAATCTTATTCGTCAGAAAATACTTTTGGACCGTGTGATGAATGCAATTTTTCGTAAGAAGGCCCGTAAACCGCGATCTAACCGAGCGAAGCGAGGTTAGAATTGCGGTTTACCGGCCCTTCTGACGAAAAATAAGTTTTCGAATCAAAAAAAGGAACTTCTATCTAAGACAATCTTTAATCGTCATTATAAACAATATGGTAGTTTTTACGGAAATGAGAAAATTTGTTGTCTTGTGCAGATATTTCATTTCATAGTTATGAATTTTTGTAAGTTCATCATAACTCGATTTTTTTGTACACTTGAACAATTTTTGGCTGCAAATTTGTTCTACCTCACGAGGATCAAACTTTGTCCTGGTCATACTTTTCAAGGATTAAACGTCGCAAGCGTCATACCTGATAAGAGTTGTGCCTTGCGAGGGTCAAACGCCATAAGGATCAAATGTTCCAAGGATTGTGCCTCGCCCAGTTTATGGTTCGCATAAACTTGAATCGTTGAACTTTGAATCCATCAAATTCTCTATACAATTATTTTCTTAAACGGTAGTTTCTCGTTTGATTAAGGCATCCTGTACATTCGGAGTATCCAGATATATGAATTATTTATCACAAAAGTTTGACACTCACGCCAATTTTCGTATTAGGCACAGAATTTTTATTTATTTTTTTATAATTTTTCAAGATTTTTTCTAGATTTTAATCTTTTTCTCGAATAGCTGATTTTCTCATAAGACTTTGTTATTTTGGCATTTATTAATGAATTATTATCAATAATACTAGACTGAGAATTAAGCGCTAATTTGCCAGAATACTTCTATTTTTGTTAACTTCCGTTTAGAATTTTTCCAGACTCTAATCTTTGAAATCTTAGTTATTTTTATACAACTTTAAATCTACTAACAACGGGGTATTTCATTAGTAACTGTGGAACAATCAATCACTCGTCTGAAATCTCAAATTTTACAGGGGTCTCATTTTGGCCCGCTGACTCATTTGCCCCGGTCTCCCCTAGTTATGATAATATGAGGAGGCAGTGAGGGAACACTTAACTAAAACTAATGTCTTTTGACCTCAAATGATATTGGTTTTGCATTTTTCGTCTATTTTGGAATCAAGAGAGGTTTCGATATAATCACAAAAAACTTTTTTGAAGCTGACAATGAATGTTAACTGGGAATGTGAATTTTTGTTCTTAAAATCTAAATCAGATAGATGTAATTTTGCTGGGACTCTTTATATGGTTCTCACTCTGTTCTACAAGAAAGGTCGTTATAAAAAACAATTCTCTTCAATTGAACGCTATGCCCCAGAAACACAATAAGAACATTATAAACTCAGAAAAACTAATCGACATCCTCCACAGACTTTGAGTACTACAAAAAAAATAGAAAATTCAGAATATAGAGTTTGAGGATGGTTACGTGTGAGATCTTAAGCAGTTATTATGAAACGGGTCATTGACCTCCCAAAATAAATGAAATCCCTCAAAGAGTTTGTCTGTATGGCAGGATTGAATAAAGCAACTTTACGATTGATATAAACTCGTAAACTCAACGCTGTACATAAGTCCCACGTTGGAACTTGCGTCTCTCAATCGTAGCGACGAGTCTAAAAGGGATAATACCACCCGTAAACCCGAGTTTCTTTGTGCGAGACTCAATGCCCACCGGTTCCACTGGAAAGGCAACAAAACACCAACCATCCTGTTTTCTTTTATCACTGTGCACCATGTGCAAGATACTAACTTCTAATTTTCATTTTTTTCCTCTCCCCTCTCACTCCACTTTCTGATATTTATTAATTCTTTCCCATAGTCTCATCTGGCAATTTTTGGGAAGATTACAATTCCTTTGGCGCCGCTATTCGACATACACTTTCCGTACCATTTGTCCTCAAGAATGCGGGAAAAATAAAGAAAAAATTTCCTCTCAATTAGTTTTTGAGATATAAGCATTTCAATCCTTATTTTTCAAGATACGAACATTTCCATAAAGCTTCGTATAGGTACTTGACAAGTTGACGTACCAATTTTCGCACTCACATTCCCACATTTGAATTCAATGATTATATTTACAATATCAAAACAACAAAACTCAATTTTAATGGAAATTTTTTTGTTGGAGATGTTTTCGATTGATTTTTTTTCGGAAAAAATTGCAACAATAATCGCAAAAAATCAGTCAACAAAATTTGCAACAAACAATTTTCAGTCAAAAACGCATTCAACCAAGGTACTGTCACCCTTGTGACCCTCGTGACCTTAGCGACTCCTTTTTTTTTAAGTGACCCTTGTGACTTCGTGACTTTAGTGACTCCTTTTTTGTGACCCTTGTGACCTTACCTTAAGTTAGGAGGGCACCTGATACATAATTGGAAGGTCCGGGGTTCAAATCTCAGTCTGGACTTCCGATTTTTTCCAGTAAATTTGTCTTGTCAACTA